TTTTTATTATGTTATTTCTTTCAGGACTCTGAGAAAAGGACCCCCCTACATGCCGCGGCCTTCCTCGGTGACCCCGACATTATCGAGCTCCTTATCCTCTCCGGTGAGCGGGGCGACCCCTGAAGACACCGTGGAGTGGAGGAGAAGATCGACTACAACATTCGTCAACATCTGTTGTCTTATGTTGTCAGTTACTCGTTGATAATCACGTTCCTTCATTTGTAACTCTTTCCAACTTAGGATGACAGCGTTTATCCACTAACTCTGTCTGTCTGGGCCATACGTAAAACAGTGGGGCACAGTAACTCTGGTAAAGATGATGCACTAGAGCCCAACTTTCATCTTAAAACTAAACTAAGCTATAAACTATTTTTTTATTTTACCAGGTAAGGCCCACTGAGCTATGTAGCTCTATTTCAGAAGAGACCTGAACACAAATGATGGCTTGATGAAAGTGGCTTATAATGTGGAAGTTTCTATCAGCAAAATACTCGAAACTCGTTTTGATTCTAAATGTGTAGGGGAGAAAATGCAAACTCCAAATGTACAACAGGCGTCAGGGTCGGGATCGAACCTGCGAACTCCCGCATACCAGGCGAGGTTGTTAACATCTCCTAGCCACCGTGGCGCCCCCAAGATGTGTTCTTATTCAGGATGCTGCCAAGAGGAAACCGACCACACCGATCGGAGAGCTGAAAAGGACAACTTGTGTCAATAAAAAAAAAATTCCCGTAGCTACCCAGCGTCATCCACGCTGCTCATGCAGCACTTTGCGTGTTAGTAAGCGTTACATAATCCATGCGTGTACGCATGGACTCTTCCTAACGAATACAAATCTATAAATGCAACCGCATCTCAAAATAGTGGGGTGACACGAAGTATGTTCATTATTTACCGAGGGAATTCTCACCGAGTCTCACGACTCGTTTGTCAGGAGGGTGCTGCTCAGAAGGGGGGACGTGGGCAGGAGTAGGCGACTAATGTTGCAGCAGTTCATAGATTTGCTCTATGTGTATCCAGCGGCATGCGTAAGAATCGATCTATTGTTTCGATTTGTGCACTCAACCCCCTACAGCCACTCGTGGTCGCTGGGTTCACGCAAGGAATCGATTGTTGAAATGGATCACGACCTCATCCTGACCCTACGCACGACCTTGCAACCATTTCTGCATGCGGCGAAGAGTCGATCAACATTGACATTTACGCACGTGATACGTGCACCTGTGCATGCATGTGAGAATGGATCGTTTAGGATTTATGCACATGCGGTTTTTTTTTTTTCCCTCGGGCTAATGGAACAAACGAGGCAGAACAAATGAGACAGAACATGCCAGACAGTGTAAACGAATGGTGGCCCAGGTATTGGTGCTCTGTGCAATGGACCAGGCGACCTATATTTGTTTACCAACCATCGACTAACATCAGTAGCGAGTAACATATTTGACCAGTCCTGGACTCATCCATAATCACCGACCCACATGGACTAGCAGGCTGAAGTATGGTCAAACAACCCTCAGTCTTGACATTAAATGAGGAGGCCTTCATCCAGCAGTGGATTGGCATAGGGCTATACAAATGAGACCAAAAAAAACCTTTTGTATTAGGTTATGACTGTGGTTCGCGAATATTCCTAGAATCGGCACAGGAGTGGATTGTGATTATTGTTTGAGTGTTTGGCGTATTTTAAAAGACAACATATCTCTTCTGTCAACATACCACATGGTAAAAGTAGCGGTTTGTCACGCACGGCCTAACCGGCGTCGTGCTTCCCGCACGCAACATCTCAAGAATGTCGTGGACATTCTAAGAATCTCTGTGTTGGTGACGGTGTTGAGACGTCTAAGACTCCTTGATGCTTCTGCCAACCTCACTTCTGACGTCAGAACACCGTTACGTGAAACATGTAGGACCAAAAACGCAAAGCATTTGGACACTGTATTTAAAAAAAATACAGTGAATTGGCCGAGAGTGATGTTGTCTGCACCAGCGCCTCGTGCACTGTCCTCTGGCCTTAATAGATGGTCGCTGACAGCACCTGGTCCGACAATCCTGTGTCGGCTACACGGGGGAAGATGTGTCACTCGTGAAGTGACCTCTCCTCGGTGAATGTGACGTGACGGTGTCGATCAGTGGCAGCTACCCAAGCATTTGACGTGATGGGTTTGCCCTGTTGATGAATCTCAGATGCCCGAGCAATTGAAAGTGACGCGACTTGTTTTTGCCGCTTTGATCATTCGCAGGTGCCCCGATCCCGTTGAACGCGATGCAATGTGGCGCTCTTTTGATCGATCGCAGCTGCCCGACCGATCAAACGTGACGTTGACGTCTTGTCATGCCGATCATTCGCAGGTGCTCGAGTCAATGCAAAGGACAACAAATGGCTCAACCCCCTGCACCGGGCCTGTGCCTCCCGCAGCGAGGTGAGCTTGCTCGTGTGTTTGTGTTGCTGCTTGTATGCTTGCGTGAGTGTGAATGTGCGTGCATGCAAGCATGGCTTGGTGGTTAGCGCACGGCGCTACGAAACCAGCGACCCGAGTACGATTTCCGCTCATGGCCAACACCAGTGACTGTTCTCTGGGTATTTGGCCTACTCTTCCACCCTGGCCAGACGTCTCAAATGAGTTGAGAGTTACCCACACTTTATCCCACCTGTACGCAACCTTGACTGCATACGGGTCCTAACAGTCGCCTAAAATGTTGTCCTTCCCCGGCACCAGATAAGCATGGCTACCCATGTCCAGTGCAAAAGAAGTTCACAATAGAAACATACAAAATAAGGAGGGGCCGTGAGCCTTTGGTTGCTTGGTTCCCCTGCCTCTCGAACTCGGTCCGTCTCGGGTCATATCAGGAATGCTGCTGGCACACTCAAAAGTGTTCTAAAATTAAATATTAAAGTCACATTTATTTGAGTTGGCTTATTCTTGGGCAGGGGTGCTGTGCATGAAGAGCGCCACATTAGAGCCACTCTCAGCGGTACCGATGAGAATCGGGCTTCCGTCATTAAACTCTCGCGCCCGGGGGCGAGTGAGCTTGGAGTTGAGGTTTGGCGTCTTTTTAAAATCGAGGGGCCGTGTCAAGATCAACATTGACCCACACCAAACAGACGGACGCAAACACCGCCCGCTCTTTTGCCTGGACGCCTCGGGGAAGCAAACGCAGAGATAGATTAAAATGTAAAATAGCACGCGACCAACCGAGCGAGTAAGCGGGCGAGTGAGAAGCACTCGGAACGGACGCCGTCACGGGGCAGCGAACTGGGGCGGCGTGCGCCGCGTGCTCAAGCGCGGTATTTAATTCACTGATGCCGTCTCGCGGGGAAGCTGTCCAGGCGTCCGTCATTAAACTCGCGCGCCCGGGGGTGTCGTGGGGCGCCGCCGTGGCCAGATGTTATCCAGCACGCCTGGTACATTGGAGGTCGTGGGTTTGATCCCGACCCTGACGACGCCTGCTGCTGTATTTGGAGTTTGCAAGTTCTCCCCATGGTCGTGGTGGATTTTTTTCATGGTCCTCCGGTGTTTCCCTCCCACGTGTAGAAACATGCGCATGGAGTATTTGGCTGCTATAAAATTTCCACGTGATAAGCCACTTCAGTGGGGCCTTACCTGGTAAAATAAAAATAGGGTTTCTTTTCTCTTGTTTCGCAACACTGGACTTGGCGTTCTGGAGTCCGCAGGTTTGACTCGATCTCCTGGCGCGGCGAGCTAAAACGAGAGTGCAGGTTTCTAAAACCCACCCCTCTCACCCACCTCTCTCCGCCCGGTACAAACGGTCTCGATCAGCAGGTCTCGTGCGGTTGGGGAGCAGTGCGAGTACTCCCATTACTGCAACGATGGCCGGCAAGTGTGGAAGAGTTGGCCCTCTGGAGAGACTCTCCAGAGGGCCCTCGAGTGGAAGCCCTTCCGCCACCAGTGGCGTGAGCAAGCAGTTGCATTTCTGCACCTTTGCCGTTTACCCACTGCATTGGGATCTGTGGCTAAGCATCCCAATGCGGCATTTTCTCATTGCTCAGGAATCTTCGAGTGCCCGGAGAGAACCCATGCAAACTCTGCACAGAGACATTTGAGAAGTCGCCGTACTGAACTGTCATATCCTAAGCACCTCGCAGCCCAATGGGTTTGGGAGTTTCGCAAATTTTAGCCACACTGTCAATGAGTGGCTACACGTGGAAGGAAACCGTGGAAGCCGGATAATGAAAATACCAAGCAGATAATACGCCTCCTTCACTTATCTGTCCCTCTACATAAAACAATACAGGGTTTTTTTACATATCCCATCAGCTGCACGGCCTTCTGGACGTGCTTTGCCTCAACACAAGCAAAAACTCTGAACCGGTTTCGACATTCACTGTCTCATCAGCAGAGTCCGGAGATTGCTTGAACCAATGCTGGTGAGAGCTGCCAGACCTCTGTTCGATATGGGTCCTCATAACGGATAGTATGTATATGAATGTTGAACCTCTTTCACACAGTACGTAGCCAACCATGCTAATCTGGGGTGTAGGGGAAGGACAACAAATAGTGCGTCGATAAGCAGGAGGAAAATGTTCCGGCCGAAAATCCACTCGACCAACTAACGGACGCTCGGTCGCAGGCGGCCGTCCAGATGCTGCTGCGGCACGCGGCGGACGTGAACGCGCGCGACAAGAACTGGCAGACGCCGCTGCACGTCGCCTCCGCCAACCGCGCCATCAAGTGCGCCGACGCGCTCATCCCGCTGCTGAGCAACGTCAACGTGTCGGACAGGGCCGGCCGCACCGCGCTGCACCATGCGGCGTTCAACGGGAACCTGGAGGTCGGCCTCGCGTGCGCTCGCGCGCACCACCACCACCACCACCTCATACTTGTCAAACTATACGGTTTCACTGTTTCCTTGTGCAGGGAAATTTAGTTTTCAGGTCCATGTGGTGTACAGCCGTTTCAATACGGACCAAACAATATATTATTTTTTGTCTATTTGTGTTTCTCCCTTGTGATGGGCCTTTGTAGGATGAAGGTTGAGATGTATAAGTGCACGGGGTGATCAATAAGGCCTGAATTGGTCTGTAATAAAGTAGGCAATGATAAGGGGTATTGCCACCACCTCCCAACTCCGTGCTGCCCCCGTGACCTCTGTTCACCATCATGCCCATTTTGTGTTGCCTTGCAAAAGCCATGCCTTTCTTGTGCCCTCTGTTACTAATATGCACCACCCTGTTTATCCCCCTGTGCCGCCCCCTAAACTGCCCAGAATCTCCGTGCTCTGCTCTGTACCCCCTGTAGCTCCTGTGTCTCCCTGTGATTTCTATTGCTGCCCGTGTGGCACTCCGTATGGTGATGTGCTGCCCTGTACCGCACCCCTCTTCGCTTTCTGTACAGCCAATTCTCCCTTCGCCAGCTTGCGTTGCTCTGTACTAATGGTAACTTCCGTTACATTTCTGCCTTGCCATGTGCTGTTGCGTGTCATACTCGGAATCTCTCAGAGTCTTTATTTATCCTGGAAGAATCCAATGAGCTATGAAGCTCTTTTTCACGGATGTTCCTTTTTGCACCACCTTGCATCTGTGCGTACTTGCCCGCTAATGTCATGCATATCCTTTCTCTCTCCTTTCCCCTGCACCACCACCCTCTCTTCATCCCTGTCGAATTCTGTGCAGTCTTGTTCAACCACGTATATAAATCAACCATTTGCCTCTACACCATACAGCACCGGCTTGTACCACCAAGTGACTCCCAGCATCCCTTAAGTACATTTCTGCACCTTTCCTCACCGCCTAGCACCTCTATGCACCTTCCAGCTCATATTTGTACCTCCCAACGTATCGCCAGGTCACGCAGGACAGCGATGTGCGTGTGTGCGTGCCTGTGTGGCACACACAAGCGGGACTTACCGAGGCGTGCACTAACAGCACTGACAGATAAATTAGGAGAGAGAGAGAGAGAGAAAAATAATAAAAACTGAAAAAAATGCAATCAATGCGTGTGGCTGGTTAGGATATCGATCTGGCTCGGGTTTCTGCCATGAACGTTACCGTGTTGCGCAGCTGCTGCTTTTTCCTCGCGGATTCGAGTTTAGTTTATACGTCAACGCTCGCGACGCTTCGCGCCGCCGTTTTGACGGCGTGATGGCGTAAATTGATTGTAATTGACCGGTTGGTGTCTTTCCCTCTGTAGGTGCCTTTTGAGATGCGTGCTTCATTACGCAGCGGGTTTTCAATTAAGATGCAAATTTTCCATGGCCCGCTCTAGTGGACTCGTCCGCGATCGGTCGCCATGGTAATGTAGTTGCTGGTTACTGCCGCTGCCTAACCCCCCCCCCAAGGGGGGTGAAGCCCCCCCCCCTCCCCCAAGGGGGTCCACCAGGTTAGCTGGCCATGTAGATGCCTGCCTGTGCCTGTGAACGTAGGGACAGCCTCGATAATTATAATTCATAAGTAGCGCGATGGCTATTCGCTCCGTTCTTATAGTGCAAGGCAAGTCACGGAGGCGCACATTTTTACAGACAAATATAGTCCGCTAGTAGAGAGCGCCATTGTTACGAAGGCTTTGCCCATCTAATTTGCAACGTCATTTCTCAAATGTTGCAGATTTTATATCGTTACACCATGCTCGCGTTGACCTCATCTTTTTGAATCGCGTCACGGAATCTTTGTCGTTCATCACCTTGAAGCAGATGGGACTGTAGTGTTTTTTGGTTAATACACCCCGCGGTGTTAACCAGGGTGGCCGCTGGGCTCGAACCTCAAACGAGCAGCAAGCGCTCCACCACGAGACCATGGCACCCACTGCCGCCTGATGGACGGCGCTGCTTCCAAACCCATGGGCGCTGGAAACATTGAGGGCCTGTTTCGTGTGTCGGCAGAAGCTGCTTTTACAGCTGTCACCGTCGGCCTTGATCTGTCCACTGCTGCATTAAGAACTCCCCAAAGCATCGCCATCTCTCGCGGGCTGGCATGGGGTTTGCTTACATTGTAAAAGCAACGATTCATCTTTATTCTGCACACGCGGTGATTTCATCACTTGATAAACCACCGCAAGCCGTCTCGACCTCCATTACCCACAAGCAATAATCTCTCAACTGCTGGTTGAAGGCCTTCCCACTCTCTCACCATCCCTAATGCTCTTGTGTGGGTAGTGGTCTCGCAAAACAACGATCCATCACGCTCCTTTACACAAGCTGCTATTATCGTGTCATCAACCACCACAAGCCATCTCAAACACCGCAAACTGGCTTTACACTGTTGATGGGCTCAAAGTCGAGTCCATTTTTTGCAACATCAGCGGTTCCTATTCTCGCCGGAGTTACAGCGACCGCCTTAATAAGAAGGTCATCTTTGAATGCAAAATCCTTGGAGACTGCGTTGGCATCTGCGTAGAAGGAGAGGCTGAGTATATAAGTTGTCTGGTATTTTTAGCCATTTGGAGGTCGGCCAACAAAAATATCAAGTGTTTCCCATTGTCTTAACAGACTCTTGCTTCTCATTTTTCATTCCTCACTTTGACTCGGCCTGTACATGTTGTGCTCGTCTTTTCCATACCGTCAGTTTTCTCTGCCCCTCCCTGTCCTGCCCTCTACTGCCTTGTACTCAACTGTTGTATCTCCTTGTATTTCCCTGCATCTCCGTAAGCATCCTGTACGGCCATGTAACTCTGTGAGTATCCTGTACTGCCTTGTACTATCCGATATCTGCATCTCTGTATCTCTGTAAACATCCTGTACTGCCCAATACTGCCCTTTTTCTCTGTAAGCATCCTGTACTTCCTTGTATCTCCTTATATATGTAATATATTGCCTGTTGTTCTCCCCTGTATCCCCTTGTAACTGCACTTGCATCTCTGTGTCCTGATGCTTTGTCGTGTTGCCCTGTGTGTCCCGTACTATGTTTGCCGACGCGTTTGTCCCCAAGATGGTGAACTTGCTGATCTCCAAGGGCGCCAACGTGAATGCGATGGACAAGAGGGAGCGGAGAGCCGTGCACTGGGCCGGCTACATGGGTGAGCGATCGCCCGTGCGGCTGTGCCGTTCGGGTTGCGTTTCCCCTCCTCCATTCACTGTTGGTCGCCTCCATATCACTCTTGTATTGCGACTGCCACGTTTGCTGTTCCCGTGTAACTTCACTCGTTGATTAACTCCACCCACGCTGAGGATTCGGGAGACCGGGACTTGCTGTTTTGCATCTCATCCAGCACTCTGTGTTCAACCGCCAGGTCACAACAACACACTCACCCACCCACTCAATCACCCACTTGTTCATACACTCCCCAACTCAGTACACCACAGGTTGCAACTTTCCTCTCTCTGATTCTTTCCCTATTACTACTCGTCTTCGGGATTCCCTCCCAACGTCTCTTTCACCTCGTTCTCACGAGTATGCGCAATTAAAACAATGTATTAACTCTTATCTATTAAAAAGTGTAAAGTGATTTGGAGCATTTATGTGTACTGCTCATCTTCTGATAACAACCATGAGCCAGTGATGGAAAATCCACATTCCTATGGCAGGGGCGAGTTTATCCATAGGACAACCACTCTTGAGTTATATGTATTACACTTTCAGCGGTGCTTTTTGTAGCTGGCAGCTTGACATGCTGGGTCTTTGGGTCTGTGATCCGCAACAAAATTTTTTAATTTATTTTTAATTAACAGACAAGCTTCTTTAGAACACGTGACAAAGGCTGCATTGTTCGACTGTGAGAGGGGGGCAGCACTATTTTGGAAAGACAGCTGCGACTGCTTTTGGCCTGTGCTGTTTCTCACATTGCGCGTGCGTCTTAGTGTACATGGTACGAATGCACGGTGGACGGAATACAATGCGTGCGGGTATGATGCGTTAGAGGTTAGTGTTCTTTTTGCACGTATGTATGTATGGTGAACTTCTTTCACACCGTACATAGCCAACCATGCTTATCGGAGTTGCGGAGGAAGGACAACAAACTAAACACAAAAAGGCAGTTCTAAAGAAATTAGTTTAAACTATATATTTAGAAGTGCATAGCTCTAGTGGCTTCCTAGTATGGGAAGGAAGAGCATTCCAGAAGGCCTCAGAAGCACACCTGAAAGCACTGCAAGGATGACCGGCGTTTAAATGAACCGGAGTTTGCGTCGTGTGGATCGGTGGCGCCGTGGTTGACTCGCTGCGCTGCGAACCTGGCAACCCGAGTTCGATTCCCACTCATGGCGAACATCGGTGACGAATATCTGCTGAACCCATCGTGGCCCTCCCTTAGGGTCTACTCGGTCTTAAATTAGTACCTGGTGCGGTGTGTTAACAACAGCATTGGGGAGACGAAAAGCAGTTGGGCCTAGTGCTGTCCACACCACTGTGCCGGCCTTCATAGGCATTCCACTAACAGCACTTGCCCCAGCAGTCTGTAGGCTATACTGGGGAGCTTTGTCTTTTCATCGCTTCTAGATTACAGTGTTGCAATGAGTGTGTTGTTTTTGACATTGAGTGGTCCACTGTTGCACAATCTGCACGAACGCTTGGCTGAACATTGAGGTCTTCATTTCTCCCGTCAGTGTCTGGTCAGAGCGCTTTGACCTTCGGTCGTGAAGAGAAAACCCTGGCGGACGCCGCTAGAAAGCGCTCATTCGTGCCTTTATTTTGGAATCTGCTGCGGTAACCCCGTGACAGCATGACCTCATTCTTTACATCAGTGCACATAAAAAATACACTGATGTGGGTTTAAAAATTAGCTTTTTAAAAAAAAAATCTGAGCTGCAAAAGTTTTTGTGGCCATTGAAACGTGGCGGGTAGAGCGATCTCAGTGATGTTTTGAGTGCGCTGAATTTATCGATTTGATGGGTGGTGGCACCGGTTTGCACACTGCTCCATCATCCCGGCGACCTTAGTTTGAACTCAGACCACGGCTGACATCAGGGGTGAGTGACAGCCTAAATCTCATGCCTTTGTAGATTAATGTCAACTTGGTCTTTCGGATAACTATCCCTATTGCATTAATCTTCTTGGTCATCTCACAATGTAATTATAATTATTTGTAAAAGTCTTACTGAGGTAGTCAGAGGTAGGCACCTGGAGGAAACCCATGCAAACTCTGGACAAGGATGAATTTAAGAACAAACTTGCTATGCTACCCCCTCCAGACTACCTGGCAGCAGCCCAGTGGGTATCATAAACCCCTCCGTGCTCTACTAACCTTGCCTCTAGAAAGCCTACACCGAGACCGTCTATCATATTTCCCCTTCTATGTGTGTATGTATGTTGAACTTCTTTTGCACCGTACTTAGCCAACCGTGCTAATCGGAGGTGCGATTGGCACGGTTGGCTGCTAGACGTTTTTGCATCACAGAAACTAAACGTTTAACTGATTTAATTGACCGGACTAAGAGAATGACTCCAATGAAATCCAGTGGATGAGACTGCTAAATTCCACTTGTAGTCGTCGACCAGACTACGACTAAAATAAGAGCTGGCCGACTAAATCAACGGCGGCCTCGGGCGTTTGCCAAAAATCCTCCCTCTCAGTCGTGCCGCGCAGAGGTATTTTTTTTTTTCCCGCGTTTGGCGTCGACCGGCACCAATGCCGACCGCTGGGTGGTGTTGTATTTTTTTTTTTACTCGTTCCAGGCCACACGGAGGTGGTGAAGATGCTGCTGAGCAACGGCGCGGACGTGAACTGGAAAGACAAGAAGGGCTACACCCCACTGCACGCCGCCGCTGCCAGCGGACACGTCACCGTCGTGAGGCTGCTGCTGAGTCTCAAAGCGGAAGTGCGTATCCCCACCGCCGCACGCGCGCCCTGGGTTCGTTAAGGCGCGGATAACGACGCAGCCCCGTAATTGCTCGCTCGGTGGAAGGCCCCCCCCCCCCCCCCCCCCCCATTCGGTGGGAGCTCTCGACAGCCCCTTCTCGGAGGGTATTTTTGCTCTTAAAAGAGGTGGGGAGTATCCATGCTTTACCCCGCCACACACGACCTGCACTGACTGAAATTCAGGAACTCTCCTGTCGTTTTGACTGCGGCGCCGGGAGATCAAAACGATCCGGCGACCTCTGCATTGCAAGTCGAGTGCTCCGAACCGTTCGTTACAGTCACGGCGTGTGTATGTGCAGTCGGTCCTCGTTTAACGCAGGAGATGCGTTCCTGAAAAGTTCCGCGTGAAGCGAAAAATATTTCTCCATAAATAATGTTTGGCGAGATCTGAAATACGGACACACTGTAAGATGGCGGGACTAATATCTGAGGGTACGCCGCCACATTACTGTATCATTCTACGTACTGTGTTGTACCACTCGGCCATGCAGCTCAAGAAAGTAGTTCGTCGTCGACCGCTCGCAAACCGCGCTATAACGGTGCACGTTCCGCGCTATAACGGTGCGCGTGTTCATCGTTGTACGAAAAGTGTTCCTTAATGGAAAAACCGCGTTGTAGCGAAAACACGCACACGATATTCTGAGCATACGGGAAAGTACATACGTGGTTTTCTGTGCCACCGTCCCTTTGTCGCGTGCGTTTCTTCGTTTTTTTTTTAAATCGTTCATCTGCGCGCTTGCAGATGAACGAGTTCAACGGCTTCGGCAACACGGCGCTGCACGTGGCGTGCCACAACGGGCAGGACGCCGTCGTGAGCGAGCTGCTGGACGCCGGCGCCGACGCCGGCCACCGCAACGAGCGGGGCTTCACCGCGCTTCACTTCGCCGCCGCATCCACGCACGGCGCCATCTGCCTGGAGCTGCTGGTCAACCACCACGCCGACGTGAACGCGCAGGCAAGGCGCCAGCGCAGCAGCTCCACGCCGCCGATCGCGGCACCCTTGCCAGCGATGTCGGCCCGTTGCCTTGAATCGGTCCAAAACTTAACAATTATTTATCTTTCCAGGTAAGGCCTTCTGAGCTACGTAGATCTTTTTCAGAAGCGCCCCGGCTATCGCAAATGATTGCTCGACGAAGTGGCTCATCGTCGTGTGGAATCGGTCTTGGGTCAGGTGGCGTGCTGCGTGTGTGCGTGACACGTGGTCAGCACACTTGTTTTTTGGGGAGCGGTGGCGTAGCGGGTTACCGCGCTGCCTCAAATGAGTACCTCGCGCGGCCGGTAAAAGCATCGCTACTGCGGAGACAAAGGTGGTCGGGCATCGTGTTGGCCACCCATCCCCTCGTGTACCGTGCCGGCCTTCATAGGTGCTCGCTAACAGCACTTGTCCCAGCAGTCTATTAAGGCTATACGGGGAACCTTTGTATTTGCTTCCTGTGCATATGTGCTGTAATTGCGTGTTTTGTATGTGATGTGAGCGGTCTTTATAGTCTATGTGATGTGTGTGGTCACTGTTTTTTCTGTGTGTTTTGTGTATGTGATGCGAGTTGTAACTATGTTGTGTGTGTGTGTGATGCGTTTTATCAATGGTGTGTGTGTGTGCTTTGTTCTTTCAGAGCTACGATGGGAAGAGCCCACTGCACATGACCGCAATTCATGGACGATTCACAAGATCACAGACTCTGATTCAGAACGGTGTGTTTATATAAAAAAAACCGTGTACTGTATTACAATTTCACAGCATGTAAATCCACAGCGATTTCTCTAGTGTTTACATCACGTGTCACTCGAGGTGGCTGGGTGGCTCATGGCTCCGAGCACTGAGCCCAAACACCGCTGTGTACCTGGGTTTGAGTCTGGGTTGCGGTTGCTCCCAATTTGCGCCGGGTTCTCAACGGCAGCCAGTCTGTGGTCTCGTTGCTGCTCGCCAATGACTACAAAAACAAACGACCACGTATTTTTGTTATATATATAGATGGCTCTTTTTTTCACACTTGTGCCTAAATTCCGGCGGCGAAGATTAAAAACTTGTTTTTTAATTGTCGTGCGACAAGCGGTTTCTCAGTTGGGTGTATGGGAAAATGCACCCTGTGCTGCGTAAAAGGTAATTAAAGTCGACGCATTTGTCAATAACACTGTGGCCTTAAAATAAAATTAAATAAATATACGATGTTCTGGGCAAAGGGCCCTTCATCAAAGCACACTTATTAATTTGAGTTGAAGCGTTCTTGACTGCAGGAATCCATACTCTGTGGTTCTTTCGGTAAAGTCGCGTATATAGAAAAAATAATAAAAGAAAACACGACGTTTCGGTCGCAACACAAGTGTCCGTCTTCAGTACTTATTAATTTGTTAATTGTTACTTGCGCACCGCTGCCAACGCAGCATCACCAAAGAAAGGCTAAAAGAGTCCGCCTGAGGCATGTTTAAAGAGAGGTCCTGTTAAAAATCTCTTCTGCGGCCGTTCTCTCGACGCACGGGTCACACTGTTTTGCGAGAGGCTTCCGTATGGGTTCTGCTTCTTGTGAAGCGATGCTGCTCCCACGCGTTGGAGTAACGGTGCTTTTCGCGTCTCTGCGTCCGCTCGTCTGCCCAGGTGGTGAGATCGACTGCGGGGACAAGGAGGGGAACACGCCGCTGCACATCGCCGCACGCTATGGCCACGAGCTGCTCATCAACACCCTCATCTCCAACGGCGCCGATGCTGCCAGGCCAGTGCCACTTTTAACTTTCCACTTGCACAACCGAGCCGCACCGGGGCCGTGCTGAGCAAGCCTGTTGTGGCTCGGTAGGCGCCAGCATTGTTTTTCCATTGTAGAAGCAGAGCCGTGCCAAGGACATCATGCGGCATGAACGAGTCGAGAAGTGTGTAGGGACAAACTGCCACAAAATGTCAAACAATCAGCTTCACTGTCCACTTTTCGTTCTTCCTTTAAAACTCGCTTGTTTTCCCTCGCTTAAGCACACTCCTCTTTCCCTTCCCTCCCCCATCATTAACACTGTCCCCTTTCCCAACTTTCCTACCCATTCACCACACTCACTCATCATTAACCACTTTTTGTCGCTTTCACCATCGTTTATTTCCACGCATAATCATATTCATCATGTACTACCATCCTCTTCAACTCATCTCATCACAAGTCTGCTGTACAAATAGATCATTCTTTGTTCGGCGCCATTGTCAAGGCGTGATATGAATTTAAATAAGATAAGATGATGTCACGTAATGAAGGTGGCGATTAGCACTGTGCCTGGCCCTGCTTGGCCCCGAGTCGGCTTCAGACGTTTACGCGAAGCCAGCAGCACAGCACGGTTTTGGTTTCCGGCTCGCCAAACGGCCAGTGGAGAACCACGCGTACAGCGAGTGTCCCGTGCTGACTCGGCTCGGATGTTCTCGCGACAGATGGTTTTATTTTTTATTTAAAGCTTTCATGACTGCAGTAATTCATATTCTTAGTTCTTTCGGTAAAGTCACGTTGAAGGGAAACAACAAAATAATAAAATATATTATTTTATTTTTTTGATGTTTCCCTTCAAAATAATAAAATATATAATATATTATTTTATTATTTTGTTGTTTCCCTTCAACGTGACTTTACCGAAAGAACTAAGAATACAGATGGTTTCATGTCGGCTAGCTGGGGCGTCGCTGTGTGCCCGTTTCTGATTCAAATCCCCCCGGAGGTCTCTGTCCACCCGGCAGTTTAAATGGGGACGGGGGAGGGGGCGCGCACCATGGCCGGTCGTGTGTTGTGCCGTAGAGGGTGGGTACCCGCACCTCTTCCAAGACGGTTGACCCGTGTGGGAAGCATAGCCTCTCGACGGGCTCCCTAGAGCTACGACCTCCAGTTGAGGGGGACCTTCTACCAGCAGTGGCGTGAGCAGGAAATTTTGCAGGGCGCTGTGTCTTTTACCTTTCATTCAAGCGAAGAGTTATTTTTTAACAAAATAACAGGATATCCAGAACTTCCTTGCAAAAGAGATAATCGTGCAGGGAATCTGACTCGTTTACTTGGGAGAATGATGGTTAAATGCCGAGTGATGTTTTCCTTCCCCGGGGTTGGTTTTTTGACGAAGTTTATAAAAAAAAGTTTTTAGTCTGTGTCTTTTACGAACGAGTAAGGAACATTCTGTTCCACTCACGAAGGACAACCACGAGCACTTTGGTTGTTTTTACCATCCGGTGCAAAATTCAATATAATAGTGTCATTTGTTATTTATGCAGTCACAAGGATTTTTCAGGACGGTTCCAGCATTGGCATGTTTGGCCCAATAGATTATTTTAAGCAGTTTTGTCAGCGTGTCACGGTGCCTGTGGATCAGCGATTTTTACGCATGTTCATCAAACCCCTTTTCCCTATTTCACGGTTCTTCTACTTGGGAATGCTTTTCGCACGACGGGGAATGCGCACACCGGTATCACGCGGTCTCTGAGCGGTCGACGACGAACTACTTTCTTGAGCTGCCGCGGCTGAGCGGTGCGACGCAGTACGCGGAATGATGCGGTAACGTGGTGGCGTAACGTCATCTCGGTTGTTTGTCCCCGCCACGAGATGGCTGCAGGTTGAAATTATACTCTAGTGCAAACGTGATTCAATGCACTAATTCCTCGCTAAAGGTGGAACTTTTCAGTGAAGCATCTATCACGTTAAACGAGGGATTACGGTGTCCAGGGAATTGCAAGTTATTGGTTAACGTGCTCCCTGCAGCCACTAGAGGTGCTACATTCAACCAGTGTGCGTAAAAAAAAGATTCTCGAATTGAATTCGTGATCCTGAATCGTAATTTCGGAAGCTTCTGTCATTATAATTCACATACAATTTTTATGGTTTGAGTAAAATTGTTCACTGGGAAATATCGTGACCATTTGTCCATTTGGGAGAGGGGAAAATCATTTCCTGCCGAGTATTTTTCACGTGGCAAGAAACCGCATTGCCCAGAGAAATGACGAGGGGGCTAACACTTGCACTCCTTGCACAGATGGGTTCCTTTGAGCCCAGTTACTGCCCGGCCACCTCCCGATGACCGCCGTGCATTCTAGCTGACGGGCTTTGTGAATTTCACGAATCTCTACGTGATCCACCAACCCTTGCCTCCAACAGCGCTGGCTCACGGGCGTGTGCGCGCTTCGCCAACCGCGTGCCAAACTCGTGTGGGCGACACGCGACGGGCGATTGTGGCTTCGGCTTGAATTGACGCTCGCGTCGCTGGGACCGTCCCATTGGGCGTCACAACCGGACGTCGCTGCCAATGTTTGCCATTGCCTTCGTGCTGTTGGTTGTGCCCTGGTCTAACACCGGTGGTGAGACAATGCCAGAAAGAAGGCTGTCTCTGGTGTAGGCCAATCAAAAGCCAATGCATATGTCATCGGAGCACTTTTTTCCACAAGTACGTGTGGTTTATAATGAAGACGTCATGTTTGGAGTTTGAATATCTGAACACCGGTTTATTGCCAGAAAGGGTAAAACCTCTTAGGATATATATATATTTTTTTCATCTTGCCAATGTCATATTCCCTCCGCCCGTGCCGCTCCGTGGCGCAGGAGGGGCAGCCACGGGATGTTTCCGCTGCACCTGGCGGCGCTGAGCGGTTTCTCCGACTGCTGCCGCAAGCTCCTCACGCCGGGTGAGTGCTCTCCACTCACTCGTGGCGGGATGGGGAGGGGGGAGAGGGGGGGGCTCCTCACTTTAACGCAAAGGTTGGGGAACGTTTCCTTGTCGAGCCCTGGCCAGGTAAAGGCGGGGTCCTGTAATTGCTTGTCCATGCCGTTGCTGGTGGTGCTGCTGGTGGCAGGGCCTCCAGTGGAGAGGGAGTTGCATTGAGCATTGTTAGAGGGTTTGAGTTTACTTTGTTGAACAAGATGAGAACTCAAGAGGCCAGGATAGTAAAACTATTTGCAAGAGGGACCCAGGCCACCAAAGACACGAGGCAAAATGAATCAAATCAAGTACAGCAGCGGGGTGTAATGGTGTGATGTGCCCAGTTATCTTGGTGGGTGAACAGAGGTGTGTAGTGGGGGTGGATTGCAGAGGTCAAGCAACAGATTAATTTAACGTGAATTTCACGCCCCAACATATTGGTGTCCGCACCACGGCGCTGTCTACACCATGGCATTGTCTGCACTCTGCCAGATTTCTAATGATAGTGATAGTAGTTTGATACATTTAGTATTCGCTCCGTTCTGTTGGCGCAAAGCTATGAGCTTGTGGAGCCTGCCGGCCGTTTCAGTAACTAACTTTAGTGGGTCCGCACTTCAGTTAACACGCGAGTCTTCTCAAACCACGGACGGCATGCTAACGCAACTGCTCGCTTCATTCGCCGGCAGCATTTCGGAAATTAATTCGGTGACTGCTGAATGCGTTCCCACTGGCTTACTCGACAACCTCGACATGAACGTATGCGTCTTTGAGTTGCCGCTAATCCGTTTTTCTGTCCCAAACCCGGCCCAGGCTTTGACGTGGACGCTGTGGATGAGTTTGGGCGAACCTGTCTGCACGCTGCCGCAGCCGGCGGGTAAAGAACGCAACGCCAAACGTCAATCTGTGATCGATTTCACGATTGCACTCACCATCCGCAAGCCCTTCCACGGACTCACCTCACTCTACTCCCCTCCACGCACTCTCCTACCTCTTCCCTCATCTCACTCTACTCCCCTCCACGCACTCTCCCCTCTCACCTCATTCTACTCCCCTCCACGCACTCTCCTACTTCTCCTCTCATCTCACTCTACTCCCCTCCACGCACACTCCTACCTCTCATCTTGCTCTGCTCCCCTCCACGCACTCCGTTCCAACAACCCAGGTTTATATTTTGGTCCCGTCTCTCTCTGTCATGCCGCACCTTTGTGCGCATGTGCAGAAACGCCGAGTGCATCAACCTCCTGCTGTCCAGTGGCGCCGACCTGGGCAAGAAGGACCGCTATGGCAGGTACGGCGGTACTGGTGTGTGCCGGGTCACGCCCGGGAGGCGTGTTTTCGAGAGCCAGTTCTACCTCTCCCTGTAAATATTAATATGGTTTAAAAGTTAACGGTAGAGTACGACAACCGTGGAGTGGAGGAACGGCCACGGCCGTGAGCGGTGAGATGGGTTGCACGATGGGGGAGCGCGTGCAGGAGGAGAATCGTAGGGAGGGAGTTGACAACCCAACAGCTTTTGCTGTACTGCCTTCTCCTGGCCACTTTGCAGCTCGGCAAGCCACAGAGAGTTTTGCGCATCCCTGCGGGATTTACCAACCCCTGCCGCCGGGTCGCGGATCGCAGGCTCGCATGCAGCCACTGCCCACTGTTCCATGTTAGTGAGCCTCGATTGAGTCTCAAGACTCAGTGTTTCGGAGAGTCCTGCTCCAGATGTTTTTTTTTAATGCACCAAAAACAGGCGTCTGTGGGGAAGTCGTGGCCCAACAGTTTGGGCACCGCTCTAAAAGTGCCCATCTGAGTTCGACAAAAGTCCTGAACGCAGCGCTCCTGGGTTTAGGTTTAGGGGAGGAAAAAAACGTTGATTGGGCTCACCGCCCCACTCAAGTTGGGACCGAGTGGAAGCATGGATTTATTTTTTATGGGGACGGGAAGATGAGGGAGGAAGCACAAAAGTAAGGGAACAGAAGGGACGGGAGTTGGGGAAGAGGGGAAACGGGTAGGGGGAGGAGAGCACTTAGCAAAATCTGCAAAGCAAAATAAGTTGTGCGTGCCAAGTGCCTGACCCGCCTTCTGAAGTATACCGTCGCGACGTTGCTATTCGTGTCGTGTCGCCCGCTCGCTCGCTGGCTCGCTCCCGCGCCCCTGATCGGCCGGCGCCCTCCCGCGCCCGTCGTTTTGCCGTAGGACGGCGCTGCACTACGCGGCCGCCAGCTGCCACTACTTGTCGCTGGTGAAGCTGGTGCTGTCGGGGGCAGCGCCCAACGAGCTGGACGCGCGGGGGTGCAGCCCGCTGCACTACACCGCCGGCGCCGACCGAGACGCCAGGTGGGGTGAAACCGCGGTGGGGGTGGGGGGGGGGGGGTGGGAGCGAGCGCGCGCGGCTCTCCTGCGGAGGCTGCGTAGCTGCTGCGACCGTCACTCGCCGTGCGACAATCGCACGACACTCGGGCAAATGAATAAAGCGCCGTTAGAGGGTTGCCCCAATCTGTGGCAGTACTTGCGTAGTACTGCCAGATTGGGTAACTTGCTTTTTAAATGCCAGCATAGCATTCGTGCAAGGCTCGGGCAACTCTCGGTACTCGTGCAACGTTCGTACAATAGCCATGCGACAATGCTACAATGTTTGTGCAATGAACGCTGCTGTAAAGCTCGGGTGCCTCTATCAACAGTCGTGAAATAATCGCATAACACCCGCGCAACTCTGTCGCAAGACCAATGCAACATTTGCACAGCAACATTCGCACGACACTCGTACAACATCATGGGACCTCCTTTGCCAGTACAAAAATATGATAATAGGTTTTTCCCTTTTATTCTGGCAACAAAACAGATGTTAAGATGTTAAAACACCAAACTGGAACCTTTTACAAGGAATCATGTCTGCATTAACCAGTGCTTGTGGTCAGAATGCAAACAAAACACAAACTCTGATAATATATTGCCATTTTCTTTGGTTCTTTCGGTAAAGTCACGTAGAATGAGAATAAAATAATAAATTGATAAAATAAAATAACACAATAATATTCTCACGACGTTTCAGCCACAACACAAGCGGCCTTCATCAGGTGAAGGGACGAGACTGTCTGGTAGGACAGCGCTGGAAGGCCGCTTGTGTTGTGGCCGAAACGTCGTGAGAATATTATTGTGTTATTTTATTTTATCAATTTATTGTTTTATTCTCATTCTACGTGACTTTACCGAAAGAACCAAAGAAGATGAATAATTGCAGTCACGAAAGCTTTAAATCAAAATATATTGCCATTGTCCTTGAAACTGATTGGTCCACACCAGAGACAGCTTTCTTTGGAGCCTCGTCTCAAACGGTGTTAGACCAGAGGACGCCAAAAGGCGTACACAGCACAAAGACAATGCCACTATCAGAGTAATGAGAGCTCGGGGTGAGCATCTACATCATGGGACCTCCTTTGCCAGTACCAAAATATGATAATAGGTTTTTCCCCTTTTTTATGGCAACAAGACAGTTGTTAGACCAGGTCTCAGTTTTGTTGCCAGAAAAAAGGGGAGAAACCTATTCTTATAGGTGTTAAGGCTTTTGTCTTTGGGCTGTTTACGCCTTTTGGCGTCCTCTGGTCTAACACCGTTTGAGACGAGGCTCATAAGAAAGCTGTCTCTGGTGTGGACCAATCCGTTTCAAGGACAATGCATATATTAGCAGTGTTTTTTTTGCACTCTGACCACAAGCATTGTGGTTAATGCAGACATGATTCCTTGTAAAATGTTTCAGTTTGGTGTTTTAACATCTTAACACCTGTTTTGTTGCCAGAAAAACTCTCGCGCGCCTTGTATCACCACTCGTTCAACGGTTGCACGCAACACTCGCACAGCTGTCGTTCAACTCGCAGGCAGCAGTAGCGCACGGCGCTTAAGCGACACCCTCGTGTAAACGCCCCCGCAAATACTTTGGCAACTCTTATAACTCTCCTGTAATGGCGCTCGGCCAGAACTCGCACTCTGCTCCGTTTTAAACGTTCGCGCAAAACAGCTGCGCAGAATTTCACAGGCGCTCGCGTCAACCACCCTCGCTGCACTTGCGTCTGACGCTCACCGCCAGTGCGTGAGCGCGCCACGCCACTGTCCCGCGGTAAAAATGAACCTCGGCGCTCTGCCGCGTGCCCTGTGTGTGCCGTCGAGTGTGTGTGTCACCCTTTGTATATCATTCCCCCGTGAAGGAAGAACAATTTGTTGGAAAGTTGTGACGTGGAGGAAGCCGGTAGTTCGCTTGACAAATTGCAGAAGGATGCGCTGATGTAAGTGGTCGTCGCTGTCGGAGGCACCGCCTCTGCCTCCCCCATCCCACGCTGCTTGTCCCTGTGCCGGTGCTGGCTTTGCGGGCTTCCTCCATCCTGTCCCATAATCCTTTGCACTGCTTCTTTGCCGTAGTTGCTCTGGGATTCGGTGCCCTTTCGCTCCTGCGAGGATTTGGGGAGGGCGGCTTCTGACTCCTCTGTCCTCTGCCCGGGTGATGGGGTTAAATCGAGACTCAAAGTAGGAAAATACGAGCAAGCGGCTCTCATCTTGTAGCTACACACTTAGGGTGTGTCTTCACAAAGTTTAGTTTTCGAGAAAAAGCTTCGTGCACGCCGTCGTGAACCCAGCGACCTGAGTTTGATTCCTTGCCAGTGGCGAGTGATATCTGAACCTCTCTTCCTTCACCGATCAGCACTGACCAGCGTGGTGAAGTACGGTCAAACAACCCTCATGACCATCACAGCATTGGGGGAGGCCTTCCTTTTAGCGGTGGATCGACAAAGAGCTCTAAATGATTATTCGTACTCTTCATATTTAGACGTGAGATTGAGACCGATTTTAAACATCGGTGGACTCTCTGATTTCCTGTCCCCAACCATGGCAGCTCCAGACACGATAGAGGGACTGCTCACGGTCATCCAAGGTGCCCACGTCTCTCAGACGGGCAGGGCACAAGTGGGATTTAAACAGCATCTTAAGACAGGTTTCCCCCGCTCTACACGGGATAAGTTTTCAGGATTTGGCGCTCTATATGCGGACGACCTATTTCTACCCAAAATTCGCTATGCGGTTGGACGTGGGAGGGCAATGTGTTGTGTACAGTGTGTGCTACTTGTTTCGCTTTGTGAGCCCTTAATTTGTAACGCGTCCGCTGCCGCGTAAAGCGAGGGAAAACTGCAGTCCCATCGCGGTGCCTCAAGATGCTATCTTTCAACACCCGGAGCCCAATTCGCGTGTTAGCTGATTTTCGCTATTCACAGGTATTTGGAGAGCGGGTGGTAGGGGGGGAATGTTGAAATTGTTGCCAGCTTAGCCGTTATTATCACATCGAAAAATCTGTGAAGCTGCCTCTCGCCCAAATGTACGATCCAGCCTGCACTTGTCCCGCATCGTCAAGACATCGCGTGCGTCCATCTTAAAAGTCGAACCCTGGGTCCGATTTTTGTTGGTTTATTATTTTTTATTCATTTTTACCCGCATGGCGTGCTTTGGGGGATAAGCGTTCCAAACAGCGACGTCCGTGTTGCTTCCTTGCACAGCCGGCTTTGTGTGTTGTGGACTGGTGTTGTGCACACACTGCGCTCTGTTGAATGTGCACCGGATCATCGCGTGCATTGCATTCCGCGCCGCGTTACCTGCGGTGCGGTGTCGCATGGCGTGCCGTGGCGCTTGGTTTGGGTGTTGCGCGGCGTGGAGTGGCGGTGCATGGTGTGGTCGTGCGTATTGCGTGTGGCATGGAGTGGCCGTGTATAGTGCGCCTGTACCAGCCTTTTGTGGTGGAGTATGGCTATGTGTGGTAACACTGGCTGTGTATGGCATTGGGTGGCTGGGTGCGATGTCATGGCGTAGCTACGCTTTTCTCTTTGCGTTTCTGTGTGGTTATGTACGGCTCTCGCTGTGGCTATTTTTGTGGGTGTGCCGTGGTGTGAATGTGTGCGTGGAGTGGTATGACGGTGTTTGGTGGTGTGCGACTGTAGTTCTGGTGTTGTGTGGTGGTGCAGTATACGGGATTGTTTAGTGTGGCTGTCTGTCCTGTAGCATGGTACGTGTTGGGTCGCGTAGACATACTTGTGCAGTAGTGCTTGGGGTGGAATGGTGTCACTGTACGTGGTGTAGTGTGGCCAGTTTCTTGGGCGGTGCTCCTCGGTGTGGTCATGTGGTGTATCGTGGTTCATGGTGTGGCGTGGCGGTACGAGACATGACGTGGCTGTTTGTGCTTGGTGTGGTTTAGTCGTTGTGTAGCAGTGTCTGCTGCGCTTTGGGTGGTTTGGCATGGTAGTATTATGCTGTGTGTGGTGGGCTTAGTTTGCAGTGGCATGGCGGTGCATGGTGTGTGTTACGTGAGTGTTTTGCTGTGTGTGTGTGTGGCCAGGAGTTGACGTGTTCTATATCGGCTGCACAGGTGCCTGGAGCACCTCCTGCAGAACGGAGCGGAGCCGGCGCTGCGCGACAAACAGGGCTACACGGCGGCGCATTACGCCGCAGCCTTCGGGCACCGGCTGTGCCTCGAGCTTGTGAGCCCAGCACCAGCCCTACAACAACAACAACAACACACTCATCCCTGCCACTAACCCACAGCACCGTGCTCACGAAACCAACACTGCTACTACAACCGACACCACCGCTACTCTACCACTCTACCCTCCACCACACCAAATCTCTATCACCATTACCCTCTATCTCTCCACGCTCTACCACGAATACCACCACCCTATACTGCTCTATCACTAACACCACCCTCTTATAACTCTACGCAGTACCACGGACACTACTACCCTCTATTCTCTTATCACCAACACCACCACCCTCTACCCTTCTGCCACTAACACCACTCCGCTGCTTCACCTTCTGTCTGTCGACCCTCTCCCCCCCACCCCTGCCCTCGGTGTGCCGACCCGCGCGTTGTCCGTGCCCGCGAGTAGTTGCTGGACATGGCGGGAGCGGAGTTGCTTCGCGATCCCGACAGCCGCTCGCTCGTCAGCCCCCTGCACCTGGCCGTGAGTCTTCGCCCCCTCGTTAGCCCAGAAGCACCGTAGAATATCGAGTTGAATTGTATGGGGGAGCGCGTGGGGGCTTAACCTACCTCTAATAAATAAGCCTCTGCTCTGCGAGAGTTCCGAAGGGGTAGTCCTTTTTGTGACCTGACACACTTAACACAATCGGGCTAACATTGGGGAAAGTAATTACAAAACCAAAAAAAACTGCTTCCACCCCCACAAACGACAAAGATCCTCCAATATAGCCTTCACTGACTTTTGGGACAAGTGGTGTGAGCGAGCACCCTATGAAGGCCAGCACGGCACACGAGGGGGTGAGTGACCAGCACCACGCCCGGCTGCCTTTGTCTCCCTAGTGGCGATGTTTACACACCGCGCCAGGTACTCATTTGAGGGCGAGTCGACCAGGACCGGTTCAGATAATCGTCACCGGTGTTGGCCGTGATCGGGATTCGAACTCGAGTTGCTGGCTTCGTAGCGCAGCGCGCCAACCGCTGTGTGACCACTCCCCCCCCCTCCCGGCAGGCCTACCACGGACACCACCAGGCACTGGAGGTGCTGCTGCGCTTCGTGGGCGAGGCAGACCTGCGCGACGGGCACGGCCGCGCGCCTCTGGAGCTGGCGGCGGCACGGGGCCACACGGAATGCGTCGAGACGCTGCTGGCGAACGGGGCCTGCGCCGGCGCCAGCAGCGGCACCGCCGCCAAGCGCTGCCCGCTGCACTCCGCCGGTGAGCGCCGATGCCGTCGCTGGAGCGACACGCGCCGATACACACTGTAGAGACTCGCGCGCGTGTGCATGCGCACACGCGGATTCTGTGATGCTTCTCACTGTGCGTTTGCATTCTGTGACGCTTGATTAAACTGCCGGCAAGACGATGATCGGAGATTACTGGGCAGGTGGCTCAGCAGTTGCAGAGCTGCTTACGATCAGAAAATCGCGAATTAAAATTCTGGGGCCGATAAAAAAGTATCGCTTTGTGGGGAAGTCAACAGTGGTTGTGCTATGGATAGACTCTCCCCTGCCATAGGGATGTGGAAATTTCCACCACTGGCTCGGGGTTGTGAACAGGAGCTGAGCACTGCTGCGACGCTCGTTTAGCGCAGGGAATCTTCTGAGCTGCACAACGAAGTGACGTCATGCGTCACGTAGTCTACAGTGTCGGGAGGTGACGCGACTTAATGACGTCACGCGGAAAAGGTCGACGCATGCCTTTTCAACCTCGGCCGGAACACGTTAACTCACGGGACTGACCCTGTGTCCCCCCCTCCCCCCCCCCATTGTGGTGTCACGTGTGCGTAGCGTGTAACGGCCACGCCGAGAGCCTCCGAGTTCTGCTCGAGTGTAAGGAGGGGATCGCTGCGGTGGACTCGCAGGACTCCGAGGGGCAGTACGTTCCCAACACCACGGCACCAACACCACGGCACCTACACCGCCACGGCACCTACACCACCACGGCACCAACACCACCACGGCACCTACACCTCCACGGTTCCAACCAACACCACCACGGCACCAACACCAACACCGCCACGCCACCTACACCGCCACGGTGCCAACACCACCACGCAACCTACACCGCCACGGCACCAACACCGCCACGGTGCCAACACCACCACGGCACCAACACCACCACGGCACCTACACCGCCACGGTGCCAACACCGCCACGGCACCAACACCGCCACGGCACCAACACCACCACGGCACTAACACCGCCACGGTGCCAACCAACACCACCACGGCACCAACACCGCCACGGTGCCAACCAACACCACCACGGCACCTACACCACCACGGCACCTGCACCAACACCACCACGGCACCTGCACCAACACCGCCACGGCACCAACACCGCCACGGCGCCCACACCTCAATAGCACCAACACCGCCACGGTGCCCACACACAGCATAGGCATTGCCATGGTGCAGACACCAAAATGTCGACGTGTAATATTAATGTCAATAATTTTGCTGCTCCATCTCCCGGCGTGGGACTTGAAACGATGGTGAGATTTTCTTAAAGTCACCCCTCCCGCTTTTGTTCACTCGGCAGTAACAAATGGGTACGACGCTGTTCGTCGATCACGTGTGGTGCGGTCAAATGTGGGAACTCTCGCCTCTTCCAAGACGTCTGGCTCGGGCAGAACGGCCTCTTCTTCTACGAGAGCTCCCTCTGTTGGAGGCACCTCTGCCAACAAGCAATTGCATGGCGTTCACCGATTGTGCTGCTGCTTGTCAGAATCATGATCTTTATTTTTCCTGGAGGAATGCGATGAGCTATGAAGCTCTCTTTCACAGATGTCCAGTATCTCATAGATGTTTGTGGGGTGTCCCCGGTGGCGAGATGTAGGAGGTTGTGGGTTTGATCCCAGTCCTGACGCCTGCTGTATATTTGGGGTTTGCATGTTTCTGTCCCCGTGGTCGCGTGGATTTTTCTCCACGGCCTCCGTTTTTTTCCCGCCATGTTTAGAATCAACATCATGCGTTTGGAGTATTTAGCTGCTCTAAATGTCCACATGATAAACCATTTCGTTGAGCTATCAATTGTGGCCAGGTCACTTCTGAAAATAGTTACGTAAAATGTTTTTTTTTATTTTGTTTGTTCATACCGACAGGACGCCGCTGATGCTAGCCGTCACCAACGGGCACACGGACTGCGTGCTGCTGCTGATGGACAAGGGCGCCAACCCTGACGCCGTCGACCTCCAGAAACACACCGCTCTGCACCGCGGGGTGAGGCACGGCAGCACCCTTGGGGGGGGGGGTGTCGCGGCTCTCTCGTCCTTCGCTCTGTGCTCATCGTCACCTTCGTAACCGTCGCCTTTGTCGTCATGACCACCGTCGATTGGACGCTTTCCACTGGCTAATTAATCATTTCTCCCCATGGCGTGTGGTTCTTGGGGGTTGTTTGACCATACTTCATCGCGCTTGTCACTGTGTTTGTTGAAGGGGGTTGGGCCCACAGGATCCAGTTATGAATTTGGTTCAAATCTCCGTCGTCAGACGACTCAGACCCCACCATCCTTCGGGGGGGGGGGGGTGCCTTCTGTGTCAGTATCATCGTTAGTCATGACCTATCCGCTGCTGGATGGAATGCCTTTCCCAATCTCTCATGGTCACGTGATGTAGCAATCCACCTAGCGCCTGCAGACGAATCGATTTCATTGCTCCATCTTCGCGGAGATATTTTTTTCTCGGGTCATGTTTACTACTTTGCCCGTCACTCGATCACTGGCCATCATCCCCTCTCGCGACCTGTCCTGCCCCAAGCCCCCACTAACCTCTATCTTCACAGTCAACGTGCAGACAGTGACGGCACAGTCGTGACGCTGGTGCCTCGCAGCGAGAAGGCCCTGGGTTTTAGATTCCTGACTCGGGGGCCCCTTTCAGTGTGGATTTCGTTTTCTCCTCTGCTCTGCATGGGTTTCTCTCCAGGTTCTCCAGTTTCCTTACATAGCTGTAACTGGTATTGACCAAACATCTGAATGCTGAAAAATTTACCTGCGAATTACTCAATTGGGATGACACCCAAAGCAGTAACCTCGCCCCCCGATTGCAAAACACTTGGCAGGACCCTCCTTAAAGGAATCTTGAGTCCTCAGTGCGGCTTTTCTGGGTAAACTAGCGAAATCGTAAAATATATTATAATAATAAAACTGAATCCGAATATTTATTCATACTGGAGGAATCCGATGAGCTATGAAGATCTTTTTCACAGATGTCCAGTAGGGGCACGGGGTAAGAATGCTACAACAACAAACAATACAAAAACATGATAGAAGTGCAGGTATAGGAAAGGTAAATAAATAACTTTAAAATATATACAAATAAAACTCAACAATTTTTTATCTAACCAAGTAAAGCCCACTGAGGTATCAACTTATTTTTCATAAGTAACCTGGCCACAAATGATAGCTCAACAAAGTGGCTTAGCATGTGGAAATGTATAGCAGCCAAATTCCACACGATCACGGGGAGAGAGACACGCAAACTCCAAATATACATGCGTCGTCAGTGTCGGGATCGAACCCACGACCCCCTGCATACCGAGCGAGCGAGATAAGATCTCGCCACCGCGGTGCCCCACAAACATCTCTGAAATATTGTACATTCATAGCAAAATAATCTAAATAATCTCAAACAATAATAAATGCGGCAACTCCACGCTGTGTATGTATATTTCACTGCTTTCGCACCGTGCGTAGCCAAACACGCTAATTGGAGGTGCGGGGGAAGAATAACAAACTAAACTCAAAAAGCGGTTTTAAAGAAAGTAGTTTTCAATCTACATTTGAAAGTGCGCAGCTCCAGTGGCTTCCTGTGTGGGCCCTGGCAGGCGGCGACGGGGCACGAGGAGTGCGTGGAGGCAGTGCTGCAGCACGAGGCGAGCGTGAGCCTCCGCGACACGCACGGCCGCACGCCGCTCCACCTGGCGTGCGCGTGCGGCCACGCCGGGGTGCTGGCGCAGCTCCTGCAGGCGCCGCGCGCCTCCCCGGCCACGCTGCGAGGCGCCGACAAGTGGGGCTACACGCCGCTCCACTGGGCCTCCTACCACGGTACGCGGGCGGTGTGTGGGTGGGGCGGGGGGGGCTTGCTCTGTGGTGACTGTGGGGGGGGGGGGGGGGGGGGGGGGGGGGGGGGGGGGGGGAGTGCTGTGTGGTGAGTGAGTGGGGTGCTGTTTGGTGAGTGGTTGGTGAGCGGGCTGGTGTGTGGTGAGTGGGGGAGGGCAGTACGCTGCGTGGTGAGTGGGGTGCTGTGTGGCGAGTTGTGAGGGAGCGGTGGTGTTGTGTGGTGAGCAGGCTTCTGTTTGGTGAGTGAGTGGGGTGTTGTGTGTTGGGCAGGGTGGTGAGAGGTGAGTGAGTGCGGTGCTGTGGTGAGTGAGGGCGGTACTGTGTGGTGTGCAGGGTGCTCTTTGGTGAGCAGGGTGCTTTGTGGTGAGTGCTGAGTAAGCAGGCTGCTGTGTGGTGAGTGAGCGGGGTGCTGTGTGTCGTGTCGTGCAGGCCACGAGGCGTGCGTTGAGCTGCTGCTGGAGCAGCTCTGCCAGAAGTTCGAGGGGAACCCCTTCACTCCGTTGCACTGTGCCGTGTGAGTCCTCGCTCTCTCCCACTTCCGTCCCATCGCTTGATCTGTCCAATTACGCCTTTGATATTTACTGTTGCTCTCGTTTATAGTTCTGGGCAAAGTTCAGTGAAGCGTCTCGGCTTGCGGTAGCATTTAGATATCGAGTAAGATTAATTTGTATTCTACAATGCACAGTAATCTTACGCCGTCTTCAGTTTTGTTATTACCACTGCTCGTGTTTATGATTGCATGATTGGTGTTTCGTGTGTGTTCTTAATCTTTTTGGGGAGTGCGGTGGCGCCTTGCTTACCAATCGTGGTGACCTGATTTCCTTTCCTGGCCACAAACTTATTATTACTTTGTATTATTGTACCAGGTAAAGCCCACTGAGCTATTAGCTCTTTTACAGAGGTGATCTGGCCACACCCCCCTTCCCCCTCCCCCATCTTCACCAACCATCAACCCACACCGACCGGCACGGTTTTAAATATGGTCACACACGCCCCAGTGACTGTGACAGAGGCTCAGCGGGAGCAGTGGATTGGCTGTCAAGTGTGCAGGGGTCCGCTGACGAGAGGGGGGCCCAGGTGCCGGGCTACGAAGAGGGGGGGACATTGTTTGGGGGGGGGGGTAGGTAGGCAGGATCCCAGGATCCCATTAAATTACCAGGGCCCATACCAAGCACACTTACACCACTGGCCATCCTCGCAGCAGCAACTGCTTTTGGCTGGCGAATAAAGACAGTCACTGCATCGCACGCTTTCGCATGTGCTTCTGCGCCCGTCTGGAACGCGCTCTTCAGATATTAGGAAGCCACTGGAGCTATGCACTTTTAAATCATCTCAATTGAAAGCTAATTTCTTTAAAACTCCTTTTTGTATTTAGATTGTTGTCCTTCCCCCTCACCTCCGATTAGCATGGTTGGCTACTTACGGTGCGAAAGAAGTTCTACATACATACATACACTGGCGAGGAGGGCTTCATCCAGCAGTGAATTGACTTGGGTCTGTAGTTGATTTAATTTGATTTGCGTCTTTGTGTCTCCTTGCGCAGAATGAACGATAACGAGAGCTGTGCGGAGATGCTCATTGATGCCATGGGAGCCAAGATTGTGATGTGCCAGGACGGCAAGGGGCGGTACGCGCACTTTGTTTTTCCTGCCCGGCGGGATCGCTCGGCCCGCAGGGCAGCTCCGCCAACACGTTAACGTCGGTGGATGTCGGAAGCAAATAGATTGTGGTTTATGTGAAAATAAGCCGATGAACAAATTGCCAGGAATGCATCACGTCTTGGATGGCCAACCACCTTGCGTTAGCATTCGTTATCGGCTGCCCTGGGGCAGCGTGCTGGGTAGCAGAGGCCGGTGCTGCCCACCACGTGCCCCAACGTGTGTGCCGCCTGCTGATCGACTGGCGTTGATACTGCTGGGTGGACAGAGGAGAGGGCGGGGAGGTTCCGGATTTTAAGCAAACTTGCACCGTTGTGTCAACTGCCACGCCGGGACAACGAACCGGCGACGTGTGGATCGCAACTCCCGTGTGCCAACCATTAAAACAAGGCAGCGTACAATGGAGGGAAAAGAAAAAAGCATTCCAGATGGCCGCAGGAGCGCATCCGAAAGCGCGCGATGCGGTGGCAGTCTTTGTTCGATGGCCAGCCAAAAGCATACGTCGTGAAAGAAGTTCAACATAAATGTGTACATACATACAAAGGCTGGGGGAATCTTTGCGTATGTGTACGCGTTGGGTGTGCAGGACGCCGCTGCACGCAGCCGCCTTCGCCGACAACGTGGAGTGTGCGCAGCTGCTGCTGAGCCACGGCGCACGCGTGGACGCCACGGACCGGCGCGGCCGCACGCCGCTCATGACGGGCGCGCTGCAGGGGCAGTCGGGCATCGTGGGTGAGCGCCAACCGTGGGATCGGGTGGACAGGCCCCGAGGGGGGGGTGGGAGGGGGGGGTGGGTGGGTCACAGGCGCCGATTCGACGCACAAAAAAAAACTAGCAACCGAGTTTGACGACAGGAGGTTGGTGAAGCGCGACTGGCCCGTGTGACTCGCAGTTTCGGAGCGTTGAGCCAGCTACCTCGTGAGATCCTGGGTTCAAATTCGGGTGTCGACTGAAATAATAATCAGCTCCTGTCTTGTAGCTACACGCCTAGGCTGTCAGAGCACCGAGCCATCACCGCTCAAGTAATGCGTTCCAATCCAGGTTTCAATTCGCCAGCAATGAAACCAGGTCGCCAGTGTCCGAGAGTTGATGGCTTAACACCCGATCGCTATTGTCTGCTTTTTTGCTCACTTTGGTTAAATTCCAGCTTGGTGAATTGCAGATGCATTTGTTTTATTTTGGTAGCGCCACGGTCACGAGATATTAACTGCCTCGCTTGGTGTACAGGAGGTCGTGAGTTTGATCCTAACCCTGACGCCTGCTGTAAATTTGGAGTTTGCGTGTCTCTCTCTCATCATCACCACGTTAGCTAGGAGATGTTAACTACCTCGCCTGGTATACAGGAGGTCGTGGGTTCGTTCCCTACCCTAACGCCTGCTGCTGTATATTTGGAGTTTGCGTGTTTCTCTCTCCCCGTGGTCGCGTGGATTTTCCTCCGGGTCCTCCAGATTTTCCTTCCACATTTTAGAATCGACGTCGTCTGTTCAGAGTATTTGGCTGCGGTAAATTCCCACGCGATAAGCCACTTATAGGAGCTATTATTTGAGGCCAGGTCGCTTCCGAAAAATATCTATATAGCTACTTTTGCCGAGAAGACATCAGCGCAAGAGCCGACGCACATTTGGAACCTTTGGGGTTTGACAGCACCATGGGATGTTTTCAAATTTGTATGTTTTCGGGGCCGCTCTAAAGGCCACCAGGGTCCGTCAGTGGCCCATGGGCCTTGCAGTGAAGAACACTGCTGTCGAAGTAGCCCCGTGTGTATCGTACCTGTGACGCGTTGCTTGTCGTCCCGTGCGCTCGTTGCAGAGTACCTGGTGAACAACACCAAGGGTGATCTCTCTCTCACCGATGATAAAAAGAACACAGCGCTGCACCTCGCCTGCGGGAAGGTGAGTTTCCGATCTGTCCAGCGGCCACGTTGTGTTTTAAGAGTAACCTGCAACTTTCTACCCCGCACCTCTGATTAGCACGGTTGGCTACATATGGTGCGAAAGAAGCCCAGCATACATACATATACATACCATGGCAGTGGGAATAGAGTTAAGGATATACAGTAGTACCCCGATTTACATCTCCCCGTTCTACGTCTTTTCGCAAATACGTCGTCACTTTAAAATTAACACCGCTACCCGATTAGCGTCGCCTCACAACCCCAAATCTACGCCGCTGACGGCATCGTCCGTCCTTTCTCGATAGCCATCGCCTCTCGGCCTTCGCCTCCACCTACCTACCCCCTGTAAATCTCTTCGATTGACGTCGTTGAGATATTCGGCGTCGCAACTTTCAGAAACGCATCCCCCGATGTATAACCGGGTTTTTGCTGTGATGCAAAGATAAAGGAATGGGACACGGAAGAGAGAAGAGAGTGAATAGGAAATAAGAGGGAAAACTAACTAACAATTTTTATTTTACCAGGTAAGGCACACTGAGCTATGTAGCTCTTTTTCAGAAGCGACCTTGCTGTCTAATGATAGCCCAATGAAGTGGCTTATCGTGTGGAATTTACAGCAGCCAAATACTCTTAAGGATGGAAGGGGAATGGAAAAATGAGAGCACAGGGTCAGGAAAGATGTGGATGATGGAGGTAGAAGCTACACAAGGGACCTCGACGCTGCTGCTGCTGCTGCTTCACGGGCGGCGAGAGGGGAGGAGTTCAGAGTGGGGGTTGCCACATAGAGGTCACGTGATTTACGGGAGGCTTGAGCTGATTCAGATGTAGAGATGGCAATAATCAGATTCATGTACGAGATCTTAATACTTGCCATCTCCTTTGTATTGTTGTTCATTTAGTTTAACACGTAGGCTTTCGTGACCAATATTATCCATAATACAGGTTTTTTTTGGGTTAGATCGCGTAAATATATAAATGTGCTGTTAAACCCGCCACCACACGACACAGCCAATTAGTAAGGTTTGTCACGTAAACAGAACATTCTAATTCGTTACTGCAGCACACGGGTGTGTTGGAGAGCCAAGCCACGACATTTACACTCTTGAGTACGATGTTTTGCCAGTAATTACAACTAGCTTCATCAGGCGACAGCCAGATTTGTTCATTCAGTTATCCTATACACAGTATAGGCTGGATATAAGCACACCTAGGTCGATTCAGCTTTCATTTAGTACCTGTTGCTGTGTGAACATCAGCACTGGGGAGACGAAGGCAGCCGGGCATGGTGCTTTCAACCCACCCCCTCGTATGCTGTTCCGGCCTCCATAGGTGGTCGCTAACACCACTTGCTCAAACAGTCTGTTAGAGGCTACGCGGGGGCTCTTTGTCTTTGTTCACATGTGCCAGGGTCACGAGACGTGCGCTCTCCTCCTGCTGGAGAAGGTGGAGGTCGTTGCCCTCATTGACTGCCCCAACCGCAACCAGCACACGTGAGTGTGGTCACGTGACTCTGGTTGAATGCGCAGTCGCACACGTGCACAGTGTCGTGTGCTCGAGTGTGTTGTTATGCCTGTGTATTAGTGTGTGGTTATGCCTGTGGTTGAGTGTGTGGTTATGCCTGTGTATTAGTGTGTGGTTATGCCTGTGGTTGAGTGTGTGGTTATGTCTGTGGTTGAGTGTGTGGTTATGCCTGTCTACTTTGGGCTCGCCTTCCCATCAATCGGAGGCGAGGAGTGGTGGTCGTGGTTACTTATGCCCTCACCGAAGACGAACATCCGTGGAGGGATGCAGGCAAGGCCGATGAGTCAGATGCCTTCTATGACCTCCTGTCACAGGTGCTGGCTGAAGTGGCTCCTCAGGATAGAATCATCTTGTTGGGTGACTTCAATGCCCGAGTTGGTCATGATGCTGGCACCTGGTCTGGAGTGATTGGAAGGCATGGGCCAGATCAGCTCAATACCAACGGTAGGAGGCTGCTAGATTTTTGTGCAGCCCACGGGATTGTAATTACCAACACGCTGTTCTGGCATCGGCGAATCCACACAACATAATGGATGCATGCCAGGTCCAAGCAAGAACATCGACTGGACTACATAGTGACGGAACAGCGGATGCGGGCCCATGTCCTTGACACCAGGACCTACCGTGGAGCTGATCTGCCCACTGACCATCGACTTGTCATCTGTAAGATGCGCCTGCCATTCTTCCACTCCAGTGGTGGGTGTACACCCAGGACCCCATTAAAACCCCAAGTGACCTGGTCTCAGCTAGCTGATGAAAGTTGCAAGCGATAATTTCATCATCGCTTGCCGCTGGGGGTTGGCATCGTCCCCCACTCCTCCAGATGTCGAGGGGAAATGGGCGAGATTTAGGACTGTGGCTCATGCAGCTGCAATGGCTGCTTTGGGTACGCGGTCCAGACCTCCCCAGAGACCCTGGCTGACAGAGGAGGTGTTCAGGCATCGTCTACAGCGTCCCACATCAGAGAATGAGGAGGCTTACCGCAGCCTTCACTCGGAGGTTCAGAGAGCCGTGCGGCGCTGCAAGGATGGGTGGTGGTCGTGGGTTGCTGAGGAGATGGAGTCTGCCTCAATAGCGCGCGATCACAAATCGCTATTTAACTCTATCAAAAAAGTAACCTGCAGCACCACACCTATTACCATCATTAGGGGAAAAAACGGTGATCCAATCTCCGACCCCCAGGAACAGGTTTGCAGATTTGCTTTTGCATTTCTGTGAGGTCCTGGGGGAGGGGAAATCCCTCAGCCTGGAAAACCTCATGGGACAAAGTGTGGATGACCCTGCTGAGGCTGCGTTGTCTCAAATATTGGAATAAGATGTCACCCCCTGTGAGTGGCTGGCTGAGGTGCTATGTGTTGAGGAAGTACTGAAGGTGATCCAGAGTCTGAGACCAGGAAAGGCACCGGGCAGAGATGATCTCCCAAGCGAAATGCTGAGGGAGGGTGACGTTTGTGCACAGACTGCCCTACATGACATCATAACAACAGTCTGGACCACTGGACGGGTTCTGCAGGATTGGAAGGATGCCCTAGTGGTCCTCCTCTTTAAGAAGGGGGACCGCACAGACTGTAACAACTACAGGGGCATCTCACTCCTCAGTGTGCCGGGAAAGGTTCTGGCAAGGATTATTCAACATCGCTTTGCCAGGCACGCTAAGGAGAAGCTTGCGGGAGCCCCAATGCGGTTTCAGGAAGGGCGGTCCTGTACAGATGCCATATTTTCTGTCTGTCTGCTACAGCAGAGGTGGAGGGAATTCCAACAAAACATACATTTTGCTTTATTGAACTGGTCAGACCTACGATACCATTAGTAGGCCTGGGCTATTCTTTGTGCTTTCAGAGACCCTGACCCTCTGCTCACGATCACTAAGGACCTGGATGCTGGTGTGCGGGCCCGGGTAAAACTAGGTGGCTGGGAGTCAGAGCCATTCCCTGTTCACCTTAGAGTGCGACAGGGATGTCCTCTGGCTCCAACATTAATTAACATCTTTTTCAACCATGTAGTTCGTGAAGCCTTCAATGGCTGTACCGGAGGAATTTCCATCTGGTACAGATACAATGGGAGGCTGATCGATGCCCGGGTGCGGTCAAGCGATGGCTCCCTGTTGGTCAACCAAGTTATGTATGCCGATGATCTGGTAATTGCTGCTCATTCAGAGGAGGAGTTGGAGGCGCTACTGCTGAACCTGGAGCTTGTCACTAAGAGGTGGGGCCTTACCATCAGCCCCACCAAAACTAAGCACCTGCCTGGGTATTTTGTACCATCGGACACTCCACCCCCACAACTCCCAATTGGTGTGGAGAGTGGAGAGTTTCCCATACCTGGGGAGTGTGCTCATGAACGGCTCCGGTTTGACAGCAGAGGTCTCACTCTGAATCAGTCGAGCGGCATTATATTTTCATCGGTTGTGTAACGCTTTGTGGAAGCTACCTGGTCTGACGCTCCGCACGAAGCTTCAGGTCTTCTCGGCCATGATCATTCCCTACCTTCTCTACGCTTGCGAAATGTGGACCCCCCTAATGGAACATCTTCACCGGTTATAAAGATTTAGGCTAGCCTGCCTACGATCCATCCTGGGTTTAACCAGGCTGGATTGTGTGAGGAGCTCACAAATCCTTGAAAGATCTGGGCAAGGTCCCATCGGTGAGCTCCTCTGGCAGGCAAGGCTGCGTTGGCTGGGTCATGTAGCCCGCATGCCCAGCCACCGCATGCCGAAACAGCTTTTGTTCGGCCGAATAGAGGGGGCTAAATGGGTGCGGCACGGGCTAGAGAAGAGATGGAGTGATGTGGTACAGGAGGATGTGGAGCTGAGTGGACTTTCCAATGACTGGTACCAGCGGTGTCAAGATCAGCCTCTGTGGAGGAGGCTCGTGAAGGACGCTACTGGCCAGTTGGAGGCAGTCGCCCTCCAACAACAACGGAGGGCAGAGGAGCGACGCTCACAACAACGAGCGGAGCGCCGGGTGGCTAAAACACAGCAAGTTGGCACAGTCGGGGGCACAGGTGCTGCATCAGCCAGTCATCTCAGTCAGTCGACCCGTGGCACCTGGGTCTGCCCCGTGACCTCCTGCCAGTGGGTGTTCGACACTTCACGTGGCCTCAACGTGCACAGCCTGGCACAAGCATTGTGGTGACGTCACAGCCACTTCGTGGCGAATGGCGGTTGTTGTTGGTTATGCCTGTGGTTGAGTGTGTGGTTATGCCAGTAGTGTCATGGTTATCACCACTGCACTACGAAGCCGGAGGTCCGGAGACTCAGCCTTCAATGAGTACCTGGTGTGACGTGTAGTAAAGGGGACAAAGGCGGCCGGGCGTGGTGCTGGTCCACCCAACCCCTCGTGCGTCGAGCGTGTGATTGTGGATGAGCGTGACCCTGTGACCATGTGTATACACCGTCGAGTATGTGATTATCGCCTCTGCTCAAGTGTCTCGTTGAGAGACTTTGTGTCGTCTTTGAGTGTGCGCGACCGCGGTCGTGTCTCCGTGCTTCGGATTTGACGAACGTTCACGCGCCCTAGCTGAGCACGGCGATGGTGACGGTGGCGGTCGAGTGCAGCGTTAACCCTCCGCCATTCCGCACTTAGGCCACTGCACTTGGCCGCGCGCAATGGCCTCTCCACCGTGGTGCAGGACCTTCTGAGCAAGGGGGCCAGCGTGTTGGCTCTCGACGAAAACGGTAAGCGCGCCATGGTGGCGAGATGTTAACCCGCTCGCCTGGTGCACAGGAGGTTGTGGGTTCCATCCCTATCCCCGACGCCTGCTGTATATTTGGAGTTTGCGTGTCTTTCTCCCCATGGTCGTGTGGATTTTTCTCCAGGCCCTCCAGTCTTTCCCTTCACATTTAGAATCAACACGTTTTTAGAGTGTTTGGCTGCTAGACATTTCCACGCGATAAGCCCATTTTTATGAGCTATAATTTGTGGCCGGGTCGCTTCTGAAAAAGAGCTACATAGCTCAGTAGGGCCTTACCTGGTAAAATAACAAAAAAGCGTTTTAATTCTCGAGCAACGATCAACTTGTGTGTGCTTGTGTGTGTTTTGCCTATAACCGCATACGTACGCCCAGCAGTTTAGCACCCGCTTTTGCCGTGCCGAGTTAGCAGGTTTTGCGCGCCAGGCTAATTAGAAAGAGAGAGGAGATTAGAAGGGCGTTTCGTTGTTAATGTGCGCATGCGCCGCACGTGCGGGCTGCCGCTGGTACCGTGACCGTGCCGTTCGACTCTCCACCACGGCGCCGTTTCACTCGCACCCACCGCGGGTTAAACGGCGTGCCGGTCTAGCGTCCTCCACGTCGGTGGGGTCGGGGGGGTCGGCAGGGCTGGGGGGCTCTCCGTCACGCTTCGCTTGTGCCGTGCTTGTGCGCAGACGCATGCCCCTGTGTGCCGGAGCCTGCACTAACAGAACCCCGCAAGCACCCGGACCTGATGTCGTCGTTTTCAAAACCATTCCACGCTGGAGCCCCTCCCCCACCCCCACTCTCAATTGGGATTTCAGTATTGGTTGAGGTTTTCTTGTCCTCTTCCTTGCAAAGACTTGGGCCCTAGTCCACCTCCCCCGCCCCATCCTGTCACCGAACGGTGGCAGTGCATGGGAGGTGTCGGTGAAATTCGAAGCCTTGTTCTCGATGAGAGCTTCACCCGATCCAATGGCGTACGTGTACGTTTTTCTTTCGATTCTGTTCTGATGACGTACACGAACCGAAAGAAAAAGTTAAATAAAATAACTTTATCCATACCGAGGTTCCTACAAGGCCATCGTGGAGGGCGTGTGGCACAGTTTGGCGCCAGGTATCTTAGAGTGCTGTGGTCGTGTCGCTACGGTTCTCTGCGAAGTGTAACAGCGCTTTTAAAAATAACGGCGCTGTGCCTCTCTAAAAAAAAATTCATGCCGAACCGCTTGCGCTTTTCGAGATTCGGCGGTGAACGGAACCCACCCTGCAACTTGAGGATGTCTCAGATTCGGGAGAGCGTTAAGTTGCAATATTATGTTATTTACGATTCTCTAAACGAGGTGGGGCTGTGGCACAGTGGTTAGCCTACTGCACTGTGAACCCGGTCATCTGCGCTTGAATTCCAGGCCCGTAGCTAAAATTAGCAGCAAGCGATATCCGGACTGGTCCTGGGCACGTGCTGGCCCTCCTCTTTGGCAGTGCAGTGTGTTTTGCACGATGAAGTATAGTCAAACAACTGTCATGATCGACGCGACACGGAGAGACCTTCGTCTGGCAGTAGATTGACAATAGGAACGCAAACCATCACAGCTAACGCTAATCCCCCCTGTTTATTATTGCAGCACTCCACCTCAATCAATCGGGTCCTCTTTTGGTTTGACAGGGTGCGGAACCAAAGCGACGTGCCATATCAAATTTTAAAGGTGACCTTGTTCAGTCAAAAAATAAACCCCCGATTCGTGTTACATGTCCGGAATCAAAACGTCGACCATTAACACGAGCGATCCCCGTAAATATCAGCGCCCCCTCCTCCCCCTTGCGTCGTCCACCATGGAATCTGTCACATTTGGCACAATTTAAAAGCCGCCGCCAGACCACGGGGTGTGCTGTATCGCCGAAAGTCCCTCTCCACCCCCCCCTCCCTCCCTCCCTCCCCTGTGGCTCCTGGCGTGATCTTGGTTACAAACACTTCTCGCTTCCCGTGGTGTGCGACGCTCTCTCAATCGTACGACGCGACGGTGAACGCGCGCCGTTCTGATCGTTTTAACCCCGCGCCTCGACGCGTTTCTTACACCTGGGCCTCTGCATGTCTAACTCCTCTAACGCCTGCTTTTGGTGTCTGTGTGTTCCTCTCCCTGTCCCTCCCCTGCCCCTGTTTGTCTCCCTCTATGCCTCCCGCCAACCCTCCCCCCCCCCCCCACCCCTTTCCCAATCAACGTGTGTCCGCCTTTGCATGGCGTACGGGCGGAACTCCACAGGTCACACGCCCGCCCTGGCATGCGCCCCTAACAAAGACGTGGCCGACTGCCTGGCCCTAATCCTGGCCACGATGATGCCCCTGTGTCCGGGGCTGGGCAGCCCCGCCCTGGGCCTCAGCGCCCTGTGCCGCCGTTCGGGGAGCCTGGGCCCGCTGAAAAGCGCGCTCTACTCCGCCGCCGAGGAGACGTACAACGGCGCGGGAATTCTCGGCGTGGCCGCGTACGCGCGTGCCGTTGGTAGCGTAGCCTGCGGCGGCGGCCGTGGCGGCGGCGGCGGCGTCGACTCGTACGCCGGCGCCACCGACGATTACGATGACATCGTCGACTCGGACTCCGAGACGTACTGAGCGCGACGCACGCTGGCTCTGCTCTACCCGCCCCCCCTCCTGCCTCCCAACCCCCCCCCCCCCTCCCTCGCGCTTTGTGATTTACCCCGGCCGCCTCCTCCCGCGCGGACTCGACTTAAACCTCCGTCGTTCTTTCGCCGCTTCCCCCCCCGGGGGTCATCGTCACGGCGCTCCGACTTTTACCCACGGACGCCACCGCGTGAAGCGGTCGGCTCCCTGCAGCGTGCGCTCGCTGCTGTCACCGTCGTGTGTTTAGAGGCCTCCGCCCAGTTCCTTTTGGAGCGCCTCCCGTGGCCGCGCTGTTTGCGACCGCTCCTGCCCCCCCCGCCGCCGCCCCCTGGCAGGCAGGAGCGAATCCGCTGCGTTGGTCCGCGTGTCGGCAAAGTCGCGACGCGGCACGATCCGGCGGTATCGACGGGCGGTGAAGACGCCGCTGGCGGCGGCGGCGGCAAACGGCGGCTGCGTCCGTGAGGCCAGCGTTGTCGCGATGACATTCCACTCGACGTTCGAAGAGCCGCGGCTTCTGGCCGACAGCGCTCCCCGTCGATTTAATTATTTTATTTTTTACCGGAAATGTTTCAGCGTTTTGGGTGCGTGCGGAGTTCTGGGAACGAAATTGCCGATGTACCATACGTGTGTAAATACGAAACGGAAAAAGAGAGAATGTAGATTTAAAAACCACTATTTAATTAATTCGGGCACAAGTTAGGAAAGGTACTGCGTTGTATATGGAAATGAAGGAGCGGAAATTTTTGCAGCGTTGTCGATATTTATTGATGATAATACGTGAAACAGGGTCTGGTGCGTACGTACGAAACTGTAGCCTCTACCCTGTTTGTGGCCAAAACTTCCCGTGCCGTGTTTAACGTGTTTCGTGGTGACGTGAAGGTCGTCCGCCGCCAATGAAGGCTTCTTGAAACCGAAACCACTGGGGTCTCGACAAAACATATTTTGCAAAAATCACCAATAGATCGAAAGGTTGGGCCGTACAACTCAATTGACTTTTTTTTAGCATCCCGCAGCCACGCATTGGCTAAACATTCCAAGGTGGAAACTGGGGGGACAAAGATCATCATTGGCACGTGGGAGATAAAAGAATGAAATGAGCTGCTACTTGTGTTACCACCATTTCTTTAAAAAGCTTGTTTCTTCGATAACTGCTTTTTGCGTTAAGTTTGTCGTCTTTCCCCCGCACCTCAGATTAGGACGGCTAGCTACATACGGTGCAAAAGAAGTTGAACATATGTACGCGAGAAGGCGGAATCCCCCGTATTCTGTGATCGCCTCCCTCATCGTTTCCTGCAGTAGTACGAGCGACCTTATCGTAGATTGCATCCTCCCAGCAATTTGTATCTTATTAATTATGCATATTAGGGTTACGCTTACACCACAACCTCCTCCCCCCACACCTCCCTTCCACCCCCCATGGGAACTTTTATGAGTATAAAATGCCGCGTCTTCTTTGTGCGGAATTGCTCTTGCTTTGCAGCTACGGTTGAAGGCGTTTGTGCACGAGATCTATGTCCCGTCTCTCTGGCCGTAATGTGTGTGTGGCGGGGTCACATAACTTGAAGAAATAACCCAGGGCAAAAAAGACTTTGCAAAGATGAAAATTAGTTTGCCCAAGACATCTTAAACGTAAGCTTCCAAAACAGCCTCTTGGTCGGGTTTACCCTGAAAATTATACGTCGACGCGTATCTCGTAGATGTCTAACCGGAGAGCCGTATGAGGATTTCTGCATGAAACTTCGATAGGATTTCTACCCTTCGTTGACATGTACGTGAAGTAATGTTTGCGTGTCTCAAGTTTACGGAGAGGCGAGTGTCTTTTGCGTGCCGCTGCCGTGTGTGCGCTTACTTTCCCCCTGCCCCGGGTTTGCGCTGCGTCTCTGAGCCCCCCTCTACCTCCCTCCTACCCCCCCCCCCCCCGATGATAACGCCGCTGTCGATGGATGTCTGACGTAGACACGTCCGGGGCCAAGGACTGACGCGAGGGTTGAAACGATTCGCCGCCGGAGCAGAACGGGAGCGACCTCGAAGACGCAAGATACCTCCGCTCACGGCACTTGCCCCCAAAAGTCTGTTAAGGCTATATGGTGGTTCTTTGACTTTGTACGTGTGTGTGTGTGTGGAATGGTTTAAAATTGTAAGGTTTTTAACAATTTGTGTTGACGTAACTGGTACCGCAAGGAATAACTTGAAGCCGACTGTTTGCAAATGCTCCACGTAAGCTGCCGCGCCCACTTTAGATCCCCGCACACGGTTCATGCGTTACTTTTATTCACCGCGCGCAGAAAAAGATGCTCCATTTCACTCTCGAGTCGGAGCAGGAATACATTTTCCCCACTCGGAAGCCGCGATGACATCTGCACGGTGAAAGCCCACTTCAGTTCTCAAAGCCTGGCTTCTGTTGGAGACCGATTCGGAAACTGCCTCTGTTTACGCCTCTCATTTGCACACCGGTAGGCGTGGGAGAGGGGGGGCGGTGGGGAGTGATTTGACTCGCAAGAGAACCGTCGCGTGGCGTCGATGCGCCGACGGTCGGGATGTCATGCGAACATTTTGAGAGCCAGGTTTCTCTTTTTTTTTTAACTAACGACACATCCCAAAAAGATAAACTGCTCAGCCCCGGTGTGGACACGTATCTAGGCCTATGAGCAACTCGCCCAGAATCTGCCCGATCTCATCGATTCTCGGAAGCTACATTAGGGTTGAGCCTGGATCATGCTGGGATGTTTGACCGCCATGCGTGATAGCTGTGCCGGGCTAGGTGGTGGTGTTGTACTCTACTGTCTATGCTCCCACATCTATTCCTCATTCGCCAACCCGCACACTGACCGGCATGGCGTGGTAGGATCGCACGTGCCGTGGCTATGTACGCAATCCGGCTGTGTCATGAGCTGTCTGCCACGAGTTTGAAGCATCCGTAATGAGTGTATGAAAAGTCGTCAAATTCACTTTCCCGTGTGCCTCCATAGAGGTCTCTTAAACATCGCTGCTTCTCTTGTAAATGACTCTACCGGAGTGACATCATCAGTGCCACAATGACTTACTTGATCCGAACTTAATGATTTTTTTTTTTTTTACGGAGCTTCAAACTCCTGTCGGACAGATACATCATCAGATGAGAGCCGTTCTCAGGTTCGTGCGGATCGTCTCTAAACCGGACCGGGCCCCAACGTTCAACCGGAACGGGGTGGGGGGGGGGTTACTTGACTTGTTGCGAGAAACGCCACGTGAATGGTGAATGGACGCGAGTTCACGTGGGCCCTCCTGGGACCCCCCCCCTTTTGCCAGCCAGGGAGTTCAGCGGGTAGACTCGTTCCTGAAAAGTGCCGCGTTAAGGGAAAACCGTTTCTCCGTAAATAATGCAACGGTAAACGTTTGGCGAGATACGATGTACTACTGCTACGCGCACACGCAGATGGCGAGGGAAACAACGGAGGGTCCGCCGCAGTGCTGCTCTGTCATTCCGAAGCCGCGCAGCTCAAGAAAAGTAGTTTCTCGTCGACCGCTCGGAAGCGCCGTTATAACAGGGGGGAGCGCGTGATGACACGCGGACCCCGTTATAATGGGGGGAGCGCGTGATGACACGCGGACCCCGTTATAATGGGGGGAGCGCGTGATGACACGCGGCCCCCGTTATAACGGGGGGAGCACGTGATGACACGCGGCCCCCGTTATAACAGGGAAAGCGCGTTCCGCGTAGTGTCAAAAGCGTTCCCTCATGGAAGAACAGCGTAGTAGCGAAAACGCGTTATAGTGTTAACAAGGACACGTGAAGCCGAGGGCTTACCATTAACGACGAGAAAGTGACAGCGAACAAAGATGATAAAGGGTGCTGTTGGGTTGAGAATCGCTACAGGAGTGGCTGTGTGAAGATAGGGAAGTCGCAGCTGTTGGGGTTATTGCTAGGGGGGTGGTTGGCTCGTGTGGTTGGCTCGTATGGTTAGTTAGGTTTAGTGCAAGTTGATGATTGGCTAACTATGTACGTACGTATGTTGAATTTCTTTCACACCGTACGAAGCCAGCCGTTCTCATCGGAGGTGCGGCGGAAGGACAAAACTAAACACAAAGTTTTAAACTAAAATTATGGTTAGAGATCATGTTCAGGGCGGGTTTGGCTAATTGGTTCGAGTTACGGGTCTGGAGTGTGGTTGGCTAATGTGGTTAGGGCTAGTTTAATGGTCTGTTGGCGAGTGCGGTTAGTATTAGAGTGAGGGGTAGGGCTCGTGTTTGGTAGGCTAGCGTAGTTTGGGCTTGGGGTTAAAGTTGGTGTTTAGTGGACTAGCGTGGTTATGGCTCGGGCCGGTGTCTGTTTTACGACTACATGTGGCTAGTATCAGGTGTAGGACTTACGTGGTTAGTGATAGGGCTGGTTGTCAGTAGGCGAGTGGTTAGGGACTAGTGTTTGGTTTGCTAGCTGGTTAGTATTGAGGTTTTGGCGGTAGGGCCAGGCTGTGGTTAGCTATCAAGTGGCACGGATATAGCCTGCCCCCCCCCCCACTACCAGGTTCTTTTCAACATTTTTGCTCGCTTATCACTCAACTCTCCGTGTCACAAGGGGAGGAGGGGGACTTTCGAGTGTGAACCCCTCTGTTCGTAGTCGGCGACGTCGTCCGAACGTCGAACACGCGGCACCGTCTGTCTGACAAGCGCGGCGTTGCGCTGCTGCTGCTGCATTTATAGCAACAACTAAAGACGAGAAAATCGAAGTTTGCATGGACCAGACCTGACCCCCCCCCCCCCCTGCACTTTCCACGACGTCGTGCTTTATGACTGCTGTAAACAACAGTAAGGCCGCTTGCTGTTTGTTGAGGTAGCGGCTTCTGGGGGGGTGGTGGTTGTACACGTTGACCCACAAAGGACAGACCTCAACTCACACCCGCCCCCTCCCCTCCAGTAAATATTCTGAGTATTCCCATTGTGTTTGTTTTAAGGTATCGAGAATTTGAAATGTGACCCCGCCGTCTCCAAGACCCTGTCCGAAAAATAAGGGTGGCGAGCGAGCGAGCGAGCCATCGCTGTGCGCAGGAGCAGGGGAGCAATTTTATTTTCTCGAAGGGGATGGGAGTGTTTGCTGTGCCCCCCTCCACCCCTCTTTTGCCGGGGATAGCAGGCCACGTCACGTGGCAGGAGGCAGCCGGACCAATGGTTTTTGAAACTCCACAACGGTTTTAGGGGTCGAGTCAGCTTCTCGATTAGATAATCCAGCGTGCAGACGGCGATGAAACAAGCAACCCAGATGGTGCAAAGGAAAGTGTAAAATGGTGGGGGACTGATGGGAAATGTTTTTATTTACCTGCGTGAGTTGAGTGGTGGTGGTGGGGGTGGCGGTAGAGATGTCAAGAGTGAGCCTGGCGTTTGTTTTTTGAGCCATCGGTTTACTTTGCCCACGCGGTTTGCGGTCATTGCGTCGGCACTGAATCGCTCACCCTCGGACGAGTCAGCGTGCAGCCGCCTAATGAACCGTGGTCGCGCGGTTGACCCCCTTCAACACTGTCGGTCGGTTCACAGAAAACTGAGAGTTGACCTTATCGCAAGTGACGTATTCTCGTCGCACGCAGGTCAGACGTGCAAGGGTAGTTCTTAATCGGGGCTACCTCATTCGGACACTTGATGTTTTATCCAAAGCGCGTAGGGGCATGCTGCTCGGCCAGGAATGATTACTACGTAGCTTCTTGTGTTTGTTTATGTATTGCAATTCAATCAGAGTAGCGGAAAAGCTTCGCACAATCCCAGCCAAGGTCGATTCTGTTCAGTCGCTGCCACCACCAACCACCATCCCAATCATCATCACCATGTCTAATGAGCCGACTTAGTGTCATTGAAATAAACCATATATCTCAATTCCATTAATCACCATCATCATCATTACCACCGTCGTCACTGCCATTTCATTGTGTGTCATACAGCAGCGCACATGTTGAGACTACCTATACAGTATAGTGCACGGAAATTCAGCTCTGGTTTGTCCGATGTGAGGCTGGTCCCCGTCATAGGAACGTGGAATTTCACAGCACTGGCTTCAGGACCAACAGTGGAGATGTATGTTCAGAGACAACCGACTCTTGTTTCACGACTTGTCGGGACCCCACCCCCGATGTGTTTTAAGAGCAGCAATAACTTGAGATAAAAAATGTTGCGTGAATGCTGGCATTTGCCAAGTACATAATTCCGCGTATACTGTATATATGTTCGTTAGGAGAGAGATAAAAGTGTGTTTCGAGAGGAGCAGTTTGAAAAGGAAACCCCTTTTACATGTGACAGTGTGTGCGACTTTGTGTATGTGTGTTTTGCACTGGTCAACAGCCAATTATGAGCAAGCCAATTTAACGCAATGAATTTCTCCCGTTTATTATTATGATCGTTTGTTATTTAATCAGTGGACACATTTAGATTTTTGGGGATACTCTCTAATCTGGCCAATCGCGTGCGTACCCCGGGGGGAGGTTTGAGAATGCGCTTTTGAGAGCCGCCGTTTGTAAGTGGCGCCGTCAACGCCAACGATTTAAAAACGTGAACAAAATGTAAACACCGAGGCCCCCCTGACAAAGCAGCAGCAGATATTAAGGGTGGGTGGGAAGGGAAGCTTGGGTGGTTATTTACTGTCAGTGGTCATATTGGTAATAATGACTGGTTATAGTTGTGGTTCAAGGGAGTGCTGGTAGTACTAGTGATTGGCTGGTGTGTTCGGGTCAAAGGGGAGGGCTTGTACTCCTGGCTGGTTGTCTCGTGGGTTAGGGTTTAGCAGAAGAGCTGGCTGGCATTAGTGGCTAGTTGGTAAGAGTTAGGGATGGAAAGAGGGCTGGTACTAGTGAATGTTTGGTTAGTGGGAGGGATAGTAATAGTGGCTGGTTGATTAGAGAGTGGGCGAGTACTCGTGCCTAATTGGCTAGTGGATTGGGGCAAATGGAAGGCTTGCAGTAGTTGCTGCTTGGCGATTGGGTTAGGGTCATTGGGAAGGGCCAGTACTAGTAGCTACTTGGTTAGGTTTAGTGGAAGAGCTAGTACTAGTGGCTGGGTCACTCGTGTGTTCGAGTTTGGTTGACTAATATGCTCAACCCCCCCCCCCTCCCCCTAAACTGGCTTGCTCTCATCCCCATTATAAAGTAGGTCATGTTCAACGTTTGGCCGGTTTTCATTTTTCATTTTAACAGTGCCTAACCCAACATGAGTCTCATCCTAAAGAACCCGGCGGTCCATTGATGTTGAGTTCAGGTCGGTGTTGGGTCGCGAAGGTGAAATTTAAACTGAAGAGCCATTCCCCCTGTTAATTCACAGCGTGTTCTCAAATCTTTTTCAGCCTCCCCTCGTATCATTTTAGTGCCTTCACGTCCGCTTGGTGCCGTAAGTCATTTTCTTTTGGCCAATTCAGTGCTGACGTTAAGTCATTTGTCGAACCTTCGAGGAGTTGAGCATATGGATGTTGGTATTGGTGTTGTTTTGTTTTAAGGATTACTGTCTGGAAGGTACTAAATAAAACCTGTGTTAATTATTATAATCACTGTTTTAATACGATGCGAGTATCATTTAGCATGGGCTAAATGTCAGCCATCTGTTATATCGGGCATTGCAAAAAAAATACCCCGTGAAATTATAAAGAAAAATAAACGTCTTGTTTACAAGTTGCACATTTTTTATGGCTTGCCCTCAATGTGTGGTGTCATTCTAACTACTCCCCTCCACGAACTCCTGCCTCTCACTCTACACCTCTTTCACTCACTCTCCTACCTCTCATCTCATTCTACTCTTTCACTCACTCTCCTACCTCTCATCTCATTCTACTCCCATTCCACTCACTCTCCTACCTCTCATCTCATTCTACTCCCATTCCACTCACTCTCCTACAGTGAGGGAAAAAAGTATTTGATCCCCTGCTGATTTTGTACGTTTTCCCACTGACAAATAAATGATCAGTCTATAATTTTAGTGGTAGGTTTATTTGAACAGTGAGAGACAGAATAACAAAATCCAGAAAAACGCATGTCAAAAATGTTATAAATTGATTTGCATTTTAATGAGGGAAATAAGTATTTGACCCCTCTGCAAAACATGACTTAGTACTTGGTGGCAAAACCCTTGTTGGCAATCACATAGGTCAGACGTTTCTTGTAGTTGGCCACCAGATTTGCACATCTCAGGAGGGATTTTGTCCCACTCCTCTTTTCAGATCTTCTCCAAGTCATTAAGGTTTCGAGGCTGACGTTTGGCAACTCGAACCTTCAGCTCCCTCCACAGATTTTCTATGGGATTAAGATCTGGAGACTGGCTAGGCCACTCCAGGACCTTAATGTGCTTTTTCTTGAGCCACTCCTTTGTTGCCTTGGCCGTGTGTTTTGGGTCATTGTCATGCTGGAATACCCATCCACGACCTATTTTCAATGCCCTGGCTGAGGGAAGGAGGTTCTCACCCAAGATTTGACGGTACATGGCCCCGTCCATCGTCCCTTTGATGCGGTGAAGTTGTCCTGTCCCCCTGGCAGGAAAACAACCCCAAAGCATAATGTTTCCACCTCCATGTTTGACGGTGGGGATGGTGTTCCTGGGGTCATAGACAGCGTTCCTCCTCCAAACACGGCGAGTTGAGTTGATGACAAAGAGCTCCATTTTGGTCTCATCTGACCACAACACTTACACCCAGTTGTCCTCTGAATCATTCAGATGTTCATTGGCAAACTTCAGACGGGCATGTATATATGCTTTCTTGAGCAGGGGGGCCTTGCGGGCACTGCAGGATTTCAGTCTTTAACGGCGTAGTGTGTTACCAATTGTTTTATTGGTGACTATGGTCCCAGCTGCCTTGAGATCATTAACAAGATCCTCCAGTGTAATTCTGAGCTGTTTCCTCACCGTTCTCATGATCATTGCAACTCCACGAGGTGAGATCTTACATGGAGCCCCAGGTCGAGGGAGATTGACAGTTCTTTTGTATTTCTTCCATTTGCGAATAACCGCACCAACTGTTGTCACCTCACCAAGCTGCTTGGCAATGGTCTTGTAGCCATTCCAGCCTTGTGTCGGTCTACAATCTTGTCCCTGACATCCTTGGAGAGCTCTTTGGTCTTGGCCATGGTGGAGAGTTTGGAATCTGATTGATTGCTTCTGTGGACAGGTGTCTTTTATACAGGTAACACGCTGAGATTAGGAGCACTCCCTTTAAGAGTGTGATCCTAATCTCAGCTCGTTACCTGTATAAAAAACACCTGGGAGCCAGAAATCTTTCTGATTGAGAGGGGGTCAAATACTTATTTCCCTCATTAAAATGCAAATCAATTTATAACATTTTTGACATGCGTTTTTCTGGATATTCTTGTTATTCTGTCTCTCACTGTTCAAGTAAACCTACCATTAAAATTATAGACTGATCATTTCTTTGTCAGTGGGCAAACGAACAAAATCAGCAGGGGATCAAATACTTTTTTCCCTAACTGTACTTCTCATCTCACTCTACTCCCCTTCCACTCACTCTCCTACCTCTCATCTCATTCTACTCCCCTCCACACACGCTGCTGCCTCTCAACCCCACTCACTCTACACTCTCCTCCCGCACACGTCCGATGAGCACGGTTGGCTACGTACGGTGCGAAAGAAGGCCAACATCCATACACGCACTCCGCCTTGTCAACCAACGCTTCCTTTTGAAGCTTCCAGTCAAGCTTCCAGTCAAATGTCTACGCGGTGGGAAGATCGCCCCAACTCGTGAACTCTCTTCGCCCAGCCACCCGCTATGTCGACTTTCGTGCCCCCCCCCAACCCTCAAGTCCAGGCGCAGAACCTCCTCTCTGCCTTTGTGTGAGCGTCTCCATAACGTCAGCATGCCCGGCTGTGTCTGCACGGCGTCTTTAAGATGCGATGGCATTGTGACACGGCGCTTTGGCACTCCACATTGCGTTGACGAGTGCCGGTTTCGCGTCTTTCATCCAACATGCGTTGACTCAGCGCCGCCTGGCGATCGTATGACGAACACTACCAGCAGTGCCCTATACGAGCCGCAATGTATTCAGTGCCCGATTATCCGAGTAGCAAAAGTAGCTACATATGCTACGGGCCCTAAGTTTAAAAAAAAAATACATTAAAACACAAATTTTCAACTTGTGTAATAAAGTAATTGTATTTTTTTTCATTTGCTATACAGCCAGATAATACGACAAATCGCTAACCTTAAACACCCAGTCGTTCGTAAAAATTGAAGGCAGTATAGTACTGTAGTATTCATAACAAAGGGTTTTTGAGTTAGATCGCGTTATTTATAAATGTGTCGTAACCCTCCACCACCCGACACGGCCAAACAGTAAAAAATGTCACGTTTACAAAAGACAAATAGTTCACTACTTTAGCCCACCGGTGTGTTGAAGAGTGAATCAACAGCATTTAAAATTTGAGTACGACGTTTCGCTGGTAATTACATCCAGCATCATCGGGCAATTCGCCAGAATAGTAAAGCCCTCTCCACGTGCTCCCGGTCTTAAACAGAGCAGCGGCAGGGTGACGTCATCGTTTAACTCATTCAGGTGCAGTGATTTGAAGCGGAGGGGGGGGGGTATTGTAATTATATAATCGATTGGTAATCAGTCAATGGTTATGATTAGTAATGAGTTGTAGATTAGTAATTAGTTGCAATATGTGTTATTGTGATTATATAGTACTGTAGTAATAAAGCAAGTGCAGAGTCACTGGACCGGAAGTGATAGCTTGAAAGCATTTAGCAAGGGGGGCTTGAAAGTGCGGGGCCTGTTGCTACTACTACATATGTAGTAGCTACTACATGTGTATGTACACGTGTAGTAGCTACTACATGTGTACATATGTAGTAGCTACTACACGTGTACATATGTAGTAACTACATACTACTACATATGTAGTAGTATGTAGTAGCTACGGGCCCCGCACTTTGAAGGGCCCCGCGCTAAATGCTTTCAAGCTATCAATTCCGGTTCAGTGATTCTGCACTTGCTCTATTACTATAGTACTATACCGCCTTCAGCTTTTACGAACGACTGAGTGTTTAAGGTTAGCGATTTGTCGTGTTATTTGGGCTGTACAGCAAATACAAAAATATACAATTACTTTACTATGCAAGTTAAACATTTGTGTTTTAATATTAACGGATTTGTTTAATTTAAGGCCCCTTTGTAACATCATGCTACAGGCCCGGCACGAGCTTAGTCCGACACTGGTGGACAGCTGCCTCCGCACACCAAATTCTTGTCGAAGAGTTTCGCCTGCTTCAACAATTCGCTGCTGCTTTAGCGTTGGGTCTGGAGAGCCCGTTCCTATACAGCACTGAAAACATGTGTGGGTCTGTCTCCATATATTCTACGGCTGCTGAGCCACTCCGCTGTTTGAGCAATGCATTATGAAAGTCGCCCGATCCTGGCGGCCAGATAAGCTCCATGAAAAAACACCCCGAGGGCTTATTTATTTCTCCCTCTGCACACGAAAACCACCGACGTTTATTTGTATATTTTAAGCCAATGCCAAACACACGTGTCACTTCGGCTTCGCACCGTGGCTTTGCTATTCATTACCCAGCCACCATTCTTCCGCCCGTGTTTACATCGTAAACGATTCGCAGCTGCGATCTTCATGATCAGCGAGCACGATCCTTAAATATCCGCTGCTGGATGAATGCCCTTTTCCGCTGCTGGATGAATGCCCTTTTCCACCCGAAGCCGCCCCTTGCGATGCACCGATCCGTGCAGCGTCTGCACGCGAACTGATTTCGTCACTCCATCTCCGCGGTGAAACGGCCCCTCTGGCCCGTCTCATCTGACTCACGATTTCATGTGAAAACGTGTTTCTTTTGTCCATCCCAGCGCGGTCCCTGGGTATGATGCACCGCAATTAGAACAATGGTCGTTCACGGTGGCCGTTGTTTATCCAGGAAAGCCTGAGTCTCAAGATTGTGTTTTTCTCCAAGATGGTGTTGCTGAATTGAGATGTCTGACCGTGCATGCGTGAGATTTTGACTTCGCGTGGGAGGAGGATGGTGTTGCTGAATTGAGATGTCTGACCGTGCATGCGTGAGAGTTTGACTTCGCGTGGGAGGAGGAAACCTCCATCACGCAGACGGACGGGCGTGGAAACACTCAACGTCTCCGCACAGATAGATTCAAGAATCCACTGCCGGGCTGCCATCTCCTGGCCACCTCTCAACCCCACAAGCCTATAACAACACCTGGTATTACAGTCATTCCTCACATCCAAGTAGGCTACTCCAACAGGCTCAAAAGACTGTTTAGCTTTCTAAGATCAGCCTGATAAAGGGGCTCATTCATGTGGTGATTTGGTGGTAGCGTCAGCCGCCTGCCCAAGGGGACGTTACACCGGTACGGAGCTCCCACCATTACAACCACCACCAGCATCACGTATGTCTCATACCCACACAACCCACCCACCCAAACACCCACCCAAACACCCATCCACCCACCCACCCAAACACCCATCCACCCAAACACCCACCCATCCACCCAAACACCCACCCGTCCACCCAAACACCCACCCACCCGTCCATCCACAAACCCAACCACCCATCCACCTCACTGGTGTGAGGCTTGTCCTGAATTTGCTGCGGTGCTGTTGAGAGTGCTGAGCTGCCAAAACGTGCAATTACGGTAGGAAGCTCGTGGCTGTTG